TACCCGGTCACTTTCTCTGCGCGACCAGTACAACAATATGTTGATATATTCGACCCCCGGTTTGATCCCGACATGCTCAAGGAGCTAAGGGGATTACCTGGAAAGCATCTCCTGATGGCCCTCAAACTCAGAGCAGGCCGAGAGGAATGCATAGTACTCAGTCCGAGGGTGGGTCTTACACTAGCTTTCCAGTGGCCGGCTGCCAGGGAAGAAGAAGCAGGTAATGATGACTATGCTTGGATATGGACAGCAAGATACTCATTGCTCGTTTTTTTAGTATTGTCTGCTGTTCAAGAAGCGCTGGTTTCACGCCTCGCAGTAGGCCCAGGTAACGTAATCAAAAGGGGAGACGGCTTTAAAGTGGTAGAATACAGGCAGCCACCGATTAACCAGCCCATTTAATGGATAATTTGGTTCGTCTTATACCTTTACTGGCTTGATTGAGAATAAGATATGCACAAAACATACACACCCATAATACTTGCTCGTTGACTTTTGCTCGGCAGTGGTGACCCGATGGCATTGTTCAAACGACGTTCGGAGGCTAGTGCTCCCTAGCCCGTATGTAAAACAGTAGCAATAGTATATACAATCGCGGTATGATATTGTACAATAACTTTTGACACTTTTACCGATCAGTAGCTCCTGAGAACTGCGGCGCGCGATATTGAAAATGGCAATACCACTTCATCATAATCATGTAACTCGAGAGATAATTGGGTCATCAAAGCATCAAATTCCAATTCAGCACCACCGAATTATCGCCAGATGCAGCACCCCAAGCACCAAAGAAGCTTCGAGACCATCAAACATCGTATCCAGAACGGCAAGAAGTCCTATTATGCCGAGGAGGACCGGGCGGGAGGGCCACATAGATACTGCTGACAATGTCTGCAATAGCCTTGTTGATACGATGTCCAAAGGTGCTTTACTCAAACGTACCTTCGCAGCAAGGATGCAGGCTTTCAGTGTGGTAACCCACGCGATTTTCGGTGATCGCCAGCGTAAGAAAGTAAGATTCTCTACGATCAAATTCGCCACGTCAGCCCGACGATCGGGACGTGGAGAAGGAAGACGAAGCATGGGACTTTTCCTATCCAATGCCTGGGCGACTTCTTCCTGCTTGTGTTCTGTAGGCGTCAGGGAAGCATCAGGGGGTGTTTGTTCGTTCTGAACGGTTTCAGATTCATCAGTTTTTCGTCGCAGTGGGATGAGAGACTTGTTGGAAGGAGGGATGGATGGCGCCACAGGATCAAACTGAAAGCATGGAGTATCAACAAAATGATCAAGCGCGAGAGGTTATTCGGCTTACTCGTCCTTCTCGGATGGCGCTCACTATGCGCTCGCACGAGGGTCTCAAAGAGGGGTTGATGCTCAAGAGGCCCTCGAGCAATATCAGGAACGAACGCGGGAGACGGCGGGACTCGAAAGATGTTGCAAGTGCAGACGTTGATCGGAATCTGAGAGCTGGTCTATAACTAGATCACAAGCGGTTCTGAGTTAACCGCACCCAGTATAGCCCAAAATTTCTTGCTCTAGCTTGTCCATCTTGTCAGCTTCATCGTATGCGGTGGCTTCTCCTTCCGTCGCGTGGCGGAAGGGTAACTTGAAGAAAAGCATCTTGTGCAGGATCATCCCAAGAGACCACATGTCAGATTTAGAGTCAATCTGTCGGAGAACTCCTGTAAGAGGCGATGGAAGGGACTCTGGCGAGGCGTATTCGAGACTGTTGGGTTGAGCAGGCTGAAGTTAAGCGATAGCAACCGAATACTCACGTTCCCGTATTACCTGATCGAACACCACTCGACCGTACCATATCTCGGGAAGTCCCAAAGTCCGATAACATTGCTCGAGGGCTGCACATAACAATCTTAACATTAGCACCACAACCAGACAAAACGCACTTACATGAGTCTTCCTTCATCCCAAGTCAGTAGCACGTTACCAGGTTTGAGGTCCAAATGAAGAATGGATTTATCATGCTTCAGATACCAAGCATCATCAGTACGTCAACATTAATACATCGATCAGAACACACCAAGAAGGCTAATCCGTGTGTCACGTCCGCGAACAAACTTCGCGCTTCCTCTGCACTGAGAAGATGGACAGCTTTCCATGAGGGATGATTCCTGCGGCTATGGGCTTGGTCCTCCATCTCTCGGCGTAATCGCTCGCGTTCCTCTGGTGGGGCACGCTTCATCGCACGAAATGCACGGATGCGTGCAGATGGAGTCGGATCGTCAGGGGCAGGCGATGAAGAAGATTGCATGTGCGGAAGTCCGATTGAACGCCCCAGGCGAAGGGCAATGAAATCATCCAAACTAATAGCCGAATGTCAATAATGATAGTCATATCTTTATGCTCGAGGGCGTTACCTTCCGCCTTCCGCCCATTGCATGAGAACGCTGCGCAGTCATGGTAAATCAATTATAATCGGTTGGCGTTTCTGTACTTACTGTAGGGTGGGCACTTTCGGACCAAAAGCAGAGAACTGATAAGTTTCTAGCCATGCGTGATGATACGTTACTATATTACGATGGTGTAGAGACTCGAGAAGGCGAACCTTGGTAGCACATTAATGTTAGTGTGCATGATATGTCAACATATCATCACAGTTACGAACCTCTCGCAGTATGTTGAGCAGGTAAGAGTGGGACTCTCCTATCGCAATTTTCTTGACAGCAAAATGTCCTAAGATGTTCGTTCAACACATTAAACCATTGACTATTGCATGCAAAATACTAACCAAGTGGTTCCCCATCAAGAACATGCTGCCCACAGGACTTGAGAAATAGTTATATAAGGGTGCAGTGCAATTCAGCAGACCTGGCAGAGATATACACTTCCATTTGCCCCCATTCCTAATCGATACTCTTCCTGGAAAAAAGCCTTGAAGTAACCTTCTGCCATAGTTTCTGGGGGGAAAGCACCATGTCGGCTCCCACTGCCACTCGTCAAAGGGGGACTAGACGGCCTTGAGGACGACTGATTTGCGGCAGCAAGAAGCTGGAAGTAATTTGACGCTCGGGAATGTGATCCAAAATCGGACCGAATATTGCCAGAAGAGTCATTTCTATCGAATCCATTGGGAAGAGGACGATGGCAGTAGGGACACGATGACGAGCCTGAAAAATCTAGTGGGCCAGAGGACTTGGTTATAGACAGAGCATGAGATGTTGGATTATACAACACGATCTGATTAGAGGCCTGGAAGATTGGCTGCCATTCGGGTTCCAGAGGAGCTAACGCGACAACCGGCTGGTTCGGAGAGGGTGGCTGACTTTCGTCAAACATGGTACACCGTTGAGGCTAGCAAGTAGTCGAACAGCTGTGGTTCTGGATGGTCGTCCTGGTAAAAAGTTGCGTTTGCTAACGGACACCACTCCAGCACCAGTACTAGTTAAGCGATGATGTCGGATTCCTGAACGTCGTCTTAGTCAGCAGATTGAAATTTGAAATTCGAGGGCTGAGCTCTTCACATCGCGCAATTCTTGTACATGGGCAACATTCTCTTATTTCGTGGCCGAACCATTGCTTGCCTTCGGGGCGTGAGCTCATGCGCGGTCAACAAGGCCATTGTTGACCAAGAACATTTACAATTTGACTTTAAAACGGACAGCGATTCCTTCCACTCAACCACCCCATCCAGAGCATCCTGTACGGTCTCTACAGTGAGTTAATAGTAATTTGGGTCTTGGTGTGCTCAATCTCATAACACAGGTATTTGAAAAGAGCGGTACTCCCGGAGCTGTTGAACTCGAGAGAGGTTGAAAAGTTTTGCACCAAACAAACGCTCTCGCAAGCAGAAATCGACTACCGGCTTCAGACAGTGACCAAAGCTGCGTGAGAGGAACAGGCTGTATTACCCGTTACACTTGGTTGTGAAGAATCACGATATCCCCTCCACATAAGTTCTGACCCGCCTCTATTATCTCGAAGTCGGGATTACTAGGACTACCTCAGTTCACAGCAGCCGACGTAGGTGTTGGCGAAGATTGGAGTCATTTAAACAAGCGAAGGCAGCGCGCGAGGAAGGAAACCCCACTGCTGCGCTAGCAAAAGCGTGCCGGAAGGCTGTCTGAGCCGAACGATCGACCTTAACTCTCGCGTAGCCGACTCGTTGTATCCGGCACAGTCGCCAAATGTATCATCTGATAGAGAGACAGGCTCGAGATCTTCTACGCTCTGCGTCTCGTCTGCAAAGTTGACCAGCCCGAGACCATACCGATTCCACGGACGGACGAGCAAGAATGTCTGCTGACTCGGAGCACGCCTTGCTGGCGAGAATTGAATAAGCAGGTCTTGTAGCCCGTCTGCCTTGACGCCATACTGGCGAAATATCTAGCCTCGTCTTGACCAGGCCTCCACCTGACTTCTGTGAGAAGAAATGCGATGCAAGGCAATTGCAATCTGGGGTTTGCGAAACGAGGAAAACTGAGGTTCTCAAGAAGGGCATACAGTTTCGAAGCCGCCTCTACAGCCACGATATTGATTCGCAATGTGGAGACCAAATTCTGCATCTCATCTTCCGATAAAGATGGCACTGGCAGTGTACACGACAGAGCCTTGAGGAAATGTCGGCTGGTAGACAACTGTTGAAGTTGTATGATTGTCCCACCCAATCCAGGGCCGTGATGTTGCCCGAATGGGCTATGATCTCGTAGAAGTCGTCTGAGTGGGTTCTATCTTTTATTACAGGAAGGTGGATATCGAAGAACTAAACAGCGCTCCTTTCAGATATTGTATATCGGATGGTTGCAGTGATGAGACATGATGGTATTAATTAGCGCAGTTTTGGCACGAGGCGGTATTGCAGCTAAAACTTGAAGCTTGAGCAATGGACCTGGTGTGACTGATGTTATTCATGATGAAGTGCGTTCGGTGGCGTCACTAGCAAGATGCATACTATGGATCTGTGCATCAATATTGTCTGTCCAAAAAAGGAAGTTGAACCCATAAAGAAAAATAATTGCCATTACCGAAGAGCCAGACCCGAACAACGTTTTTCCGTTGATATATTCGCCGCTTGTTCCCGCCTAATTGCCCGTGGTCGCCGTATCTTGTTGTCTTCGTTTGCTGTCATTCTTTGATTTTTTAACAGTCGTTTGAAGGTCAGGATGAAAGTCGAGCTGGAAGCGCGTCAACAACAGGGAGGACAGCCTCAGTCCCAGAGTCAATCCCAATCTCAATCCCAATCGCTGTCTCAAACTCAGTCTGGATCCACCGTGTCAGGTTCACAGTCGCAGACTGCGTCGGGCACTGCTTCCTCGTTTCTATCCATCCCCCAATCAGCTCCTGCAGGGCTTCTTACCATCACCCAGCCGCCCCAGCAGTCGACTTCTTATTTCAAGATTGCTCAGAACCAGTTCATCACGTTTGGATGGAATTTCAGCTACATCTTAGCCACCCCCACTCACCTGACCGTTTCCGCTGTCTGCGAGAACGGAAACACGTACCCCGTTGGTCCAACGAATGGGATTATTCCCGGAACTGCCACTAGCGTTGTTTGGGACCCATACACCTACCAAACCAGCCATCCCAACCTGCCGCTTGCTCAGGCAAAATACACTCTCGAAATTTGGGCAGACGGAGGGCCTGATGCTGTACGCGAGCCGGGTGTGCTCACGCCCAACAGCGCGCTGCAATTTGCGTTGTATACGCCGCAGGCTTATACTCCTATCACCAGCGGTAAGCGACGTCTACGCGACGGCTGTCACTATTTTTACTGACTTGTTCGAAAAGGCTGGTCTTGTGCAGGTTGTTCTAGCGCTATTTCGCAGCACATTGTCCACCCCACATTCATTGCCCTCATCGCTACCTTAATGGTGATGTTCATCTCTGGCTCGGCTCTCTTGCGGCGAATATAGGACACGTTGTCAATGCACGTTCAGCGGCTCGTTGCATTCCAGTTTCTTGTTTTTTTTTTTCATGTTTAAGAGACACTGTCGGTCACATCACCAGCCTCGCGTTCATGAACAGTCGATACGGACCTTTGATTACAGAAACTTTTGGCATTATGGACAAATTTTGTTATCTTTAACTCATATGAGTATATCAGTTCGTAATACACCTTTGATTCGTTTTGTGGATTACACAGACTGATTTCTACGTCATTGCGTTAACCTTTGATCGCCGATCGCAACCGTATTTTATCTTGCAGCAGCAGGTAAAAATAATATCACTTATAACCACTGATTGGCTGCGCAGTGGCGGTGGGTGGCAGCGGGTAACAGTCTGCGACTTTGTTCCCACTGAAACGATCGGGTGCCTAACAAACATCACATGACCTTTGTACACATTGCCTGTTACTAATGTTACCTGCCTCTTCATGCCACCGGCCTGTCATGTTGTCGCCACATCAGCCTCGTGGCACGTCCAACTTGACTCGGAAGGCCAACTGTTTCCTAGCAAGTTCGATTACGAGCTTAGGCGATCGGTTGCGTTGATCCCAAAGCCTAGCCGTATTTTTGATTTCTATCATTGCAAATCGATCCCAGCGTTGTATCCTAATCAACATCATTCAGCCCCACGGGAAGTCATCCAGCTAAGGATCGACCCCTGGATTTTGACGCTGGGCTGTAACATATGACGTATGTGGTTACTTTGCAACCATCCTGAATCGCTACTTATCATCATGGTTACTTGTCAACTGTCAGTCAATGGGCTGAAACATCTCTCTTGCGGTTGCGCTTTTGGGACTCTTTTGTGGGCACCACAGTGATGACACCAGAACCTGTTGTTATAACATCGGTAAGAATATGATAGTCGCGGGAAGCGAAACCAAAGTCCACGTTCATTTCACGCATTGTCGTAGTCAAGCTCAATGCTATGAAGCAACGTGGAGTCGGTATCCAAGGCTGCCATCATTCATTTAGTACTTCTTACTTCCCAGCCTGGGGTCATCCTTCTGAGGAGGTAGGGGGGCACAAGCGTATATATAGTCAATCTATACCAACAGGACAGCTCTGAATTTATTGACTATCGGGCTCTGATCTTGTGGACCCGTTATCTATCCCCGCGCATTTCTGCCCTTTCCTCTGCTCTTCGCTCCATGAACAAAGCAGCATAAGGCGTTATCGGTCGGCGCACTACGTTTCAGATAAACCGATCAACCACGCAGGTAAGAGGCTTTCTCACTGACCCGTGTTCACGTCGAGGCAATGCAAGTCGCTGTTGTTGACACCAACTGCATGCAGCAGATCGACACTCCCAGAAACCGTCATTCACAATGGTTATGCCTACATCACCGAGCGCGAGGGTGCCAGTGAGCGCGGATTCAAAAACAGAACCGATGGCAAAGGTGGCGCAGAAGGGATTCTTTTCGAGCCTTTTTTCGTGGTCACCCAAGAAGTCCACAAAATGTGCGATAGAGCAACCCGGCGCAACAGAGGGTAAGGATCATACATATATATCTTGCGTGAAGTAAAAACATTGATTATTTGCATCATTTAGCACTCTCGCATACTCCCAGCGAGCCACTGGAACCCGCACATGGTCTATCACGGGTACAATCCGTTCCACAGACATTGACGCCGAGTCTATCGCGAGTGCGATCTGCTCCGCAGGCCTTAACGCCGAATTTTCCTCAGAGCAAAGTTAACACTGTCCCTGATGTTCCTCGATTCAAGTCCATCAAAGACAATTTACAAGAACTTGGACTCACGACTCCTGTTGTCCTTAAGCAACCTCAAGTTGCGGGCAGTGAAGCAGTGCTGTCACAATTAGACAGGACATCATCTCCTCGGGCGGACATGTTCTTCCAACACTCGCTATCACACAATACGAGTCCCACCTCGTCTAAGCCAAGGCACGAATCGTCTCGAGGGAACGCACTTGTGGCAACAGATCATGCTATTAACATCGAGCTGCCAGTTCTAAACATCACCTCCGCCAATGTACACTTCGCTCCATTACCTCCCTCAGCAACGGCTCAGGCTAATCATGCGGATCCAGTCGAGAAGATCCCCACTCCCGCATCTACTGCTCCTGATGAAGCTCCGATGTTTGTCCAAGGTGGCAGTAGCACTTCAAATAGAGAGCCACCTATTCCATCGTCTCCATCGGTAGCAAGTCGCTTTTCTACTTCACAGTCAAACCAGAGTCACACCCCTTCATCTACTCGTCCAAAAAGGCCTCGGACAGCCCCCGGCGGCTCAAACGAGCTGAGCAAGCGACCTTCTGTTACCTCCGGGAGCCCTCAGCGTCATGCAAACAGGGAGCCAGCTTCCATTTTTCCTGTAGACGAGGGATTCTTTGGTCGTCCCAAGCTACCCCCACCACTCAAGGTCATCCCGAAGAAGGTCAAAAGGCATCAGCGAACACAAACTTTCGTTCCTTCTCCCTCACCTACAACCGTGACTCACGAACAATCTCTTACGCGAGCGGCATCCGCACGCTCCCACAAAACACATCAGACGGCAGCTCGGCTAGCGTCTGTCAGTGAGCCGGCAACATTGTTCCCCATACCCAACGTTTTGACGTCTGACAAATCTGCGCACCTCAATCGGAAATCCTCTCTCACACATAGCAGCAGATCAGTGGGCCCCAGTTCACCTCCGCTCTCGTTAGACGATGAGTTTGAACTCCCACCACTATCACCCTTACAGACGCAAGCGCCTGACGAGTGCTCGTTATCACGAATCAACACGCGAACAACGGTTGCTTCACATCAGACGCAGTTACCAGCCACCCCAGCCCCCAAATTACCCTCTGCGAAATGGGCGTGGAGTCCTCCTTCAAGCTGGGTGGGTCCTTCTTCGGCTGTTTCCTCCGAAAGCGGGGATAGTCCGCACAGTAGCAAGAAGGCGTTCTCGATAATTCGCTTACGCAGACCGAAGAGTTCATCTCGGTCTGTTGCTTCGATATCCAAGTCTCTCTACACACATAGAAACACCTCATCACCGACCCTCACAATGTCCGCAACAAAACTTGGAAAGGGGCGTATGCCTCCGATGTTACAAGACAAGAATGACAGCAGCGGTGTCATTGTCAAAATGCAGAGTCACGAAGGGGATTGGGAGGCGGCGGCGTTCCAGGATGTCATTCCTCGCCTGAGGGAAATGAAGAACTCCGCTCTATCGAATTAGAAAGTAGGTCAAAGCAAGATGAAATAATGCCGCGCATGATAGATTTGTCAATATCGACACTGTACCAGTACCCATGTGTTCCATACCCCGCATTGATTACTTCGTTTACACTTTGTCTTTACAATTGACGGACACGACATGATGAAGAGACGACCTCCAAGAAACGATGTTAAAATCTCGATTTGTTGGATTGCGCATATGGTTTGAGATAAGAAAAAACAAAGTTCTGGCTGTTCATTAACATTGTTTGCAAATTCGGGAGTCGAATTACTATACCGTTGCACAGCTTTGCTTGGCTTTACGCGGGGGTTTTGAGGTTTGCATATGCCTGGTTTCCAGTAGTTTGAATTGCTGTCCACAAAATACATCCCTGGTTCTGCTCTTCGAGACAGGCAGAAAAGCGGTGCATTATCGCAAAGGGGGACAGGTGCAGTCATTTGTATACAAGTGTGTTCGGTGGCGTCACGATGAGTCGGCGAAAACCGTGCCGTAAGCGATAATCTCCTGGGGCCTAGATTTTGTGGAAATGACAAGTTGATCGTACGTCCGATAGTCATCCGCAGAAGGGGCTGTGGACCTCTTTGACGTTGGAGTCAGACGTTGCAAAGATGACAATATTTTGTACACCGGATGTCGGAAACTCCGCCGTGAACGTTGTGCACATCCGCAGTTCAGATTCATGTTCAAGTTCGTATGAGAGTGAAAGAAAATTTCTTGCTGTGCGGACAGTGCGATTAATACATTCTGGAAAAGGATGGGACGCATGCGTGTGATTTGTTGGAGGTCTGCAGACTTGAAAAATTACATGGATCCGCTGGTGGAAACTGTCGCTCATGTTACAAATTGCAATGTAACGCAGCGACCAACATTCTTATTCAGCCGAGAGACGTACCGTGGATGTCTGAATGAGTGTCTGTTCATCGACCTTTCGGCTACCTTGCAAATTAAGGTGGCAACTTGGCAAGTTCCACAAGATGACAGGATTTCGCCGGTGGTTTGAAGGGGGAAAAAGAATCGCTACGTATTGATGTTGAACAATGATCATTTGCGCACTGGATATAACCCAAGGACAGTGATAATGCTCCTTCACCAGAGGCGGGCTGGCCATTGGCCATTCAATTAAATGGATATAGATGCTTCTAAGATACAGCTGCATATTGCTGAATCCGAACTTGTCTGTGTGCGTGCGAACTGCGGAAACGGTACTAATAATATTATGCTGTGTTGAAATTCACTTACGTAACAGTTGTTGGGACCTACAGCAGAGACCCCGAACTCTCCCGAACTATCACATTCTTGAATCTTGACAACCATACACGCGCTTTTTGTTGTCTTCGACTTGTGGACTAGTCACCCTGGAATTACGATGCGCTAGAGCCCGCTTGTGAATGCTTCTCAAACCGAGAAAAATCCAGTACAACCGCAGCACACTTCCTTAAGCTTCATCCGCGATCCGAGGATGTATCATGTGGCATGAGAGGCTGAACCTTATGCTTGGACCGTCCGCAAACCATTTTCAAGCATATATCCTATGGTCTTCAAGGCCCTGGTCCTGTTTGTATGTGCGTTGTCAACTTGTCATATGTGTGTGTCTGTCCTGAATTCTGTAATAGGCAGTCTTTGTATTTCCTGATGATGATCAATGATGGTTCTGACTACCGTGACTCGCCACTCGACTGAGTACTGAAGCCTCATAATGTAAATGAAGTACACATTGCTGCCCCTACTCAGGGGTGTACATATTCCAGGCTGTTGCCCGTGCAACCACGTTCCCCGTCCAGCATGCAGTGAAGCGATGCACTCCTCCGCTTCGACCTTACGTATCGCTATTATTGGGCTGAGCGCATCAGCCTACCAACGAATAGTGCCTTCCGCCCCGCGTGCTGGTTCTGGGGTCTGCCGCCCTGTTCGACCTTCCTCGTATTTTTCTAGAGCCCGTATTTTCGTCGGCACTGAAAGTCACAGCCCCCGGACGCCATGTACCTTTTGGGCACTATTTCGTATCATTCTCAGCTTCCGCCGCTTCACCCTCCAAATCCACTACGTGTGCTGTTTTTGGATGTGTGGGTTGCACTGCATTATTGGCCATTTTACCGATCCTCGAAGCCCGTATTTCGTAACATCTCGTGGCCCCGTCAAAATGTTCTCTGTGGCGGTGGCTATTGGCATCCTTTAAATCACGGACTGCTTGCTTTTCCCATATTTCTTCAAACTCATCTCTTCCACCCTCATGTCCTCTCCCAATTCATCGTGAGCGACCATAGCCTCTATATCTCAAACCCCTCAAAGCGCTATATCAATGTATAGCTACCCTCCCCACGGTGATCAGGAGGACCCCTTCACTGATTTCGGTGGCGCACAAGATTATCACGGAATCCCACAAGACATGTATAATCAGATACCATCTGCTACAGAGTTTGGAGATACTGGACTCGTTGGCGACTACGTGTACGATCCCCAGCACAATGCGCCACAGATGTATGACAACCTTGCGGGTGGCGTACCGCCGAATCTACCAGTGAGTTACCAGCTAGAAGCGATGAGTGTCATCGCTTATGATGATTTCTAGTATCCACAGCATTACTTCCATCAACTCCCGTTCCATGAGATGAATGACACTGGATACCTGTACCAGACGCCATTCGATCCCGTGTTGTCGGCTCCTGTAGCACAGGAGCTCATCAGGGACAATCCTGTAGGACCGCCCCTCCCAGAACCCCAGTCTTACTTGACCACAACATTGCCCCCCGCCCCACCTACGGAACTCACAAGCCCGATGACGTCAAGTTTACGAAACAGTCCGCGATACAGCCCGATGGTAGCGTCGGATGTTAGCGGTCCCTCGACGTTAAGTCCATTGAATACAAGCGGTGTGACCGCTTACAGCCACTCTCAGGCAACACCCCTAAACAGGGCGTCTCAGAGCCCAGGCTTCTACGGCCCGGATTCCATGACAGGAACAGGTTCCAGGCAATCCCCAATCTCCCCGTCGCAAAAACGTCCATTGGAATCTTCAGCGGATGGTATACTGGTGTGTAATATCTTGATTTTTGGTGGGGATATCATTAACAGTATCGTGCAGCACGGACGGAGGGTCACACCGCGCATCACCGGCGCCTCTAACGTCCACTCTTTGCCGTCGTCTGGAGGGACTAGTAGTGCAACTACTTCATCGATCTCATCAAATGTTCCTGGTCGAGGTTCGACAGTCCCCCAAGAGTTGTACAATGTAGGGACCACACATGCTTTTCATTTCACCACCGGAAGTGGAATGCCAGTCGTTTTCAACGTCGCAGAGGGAGCTGGCATCCCTTTGGAACAGTTGCTACATCGGCAGACAACCCACCTCCAGGCACGTGATGACCGCATCTCGGACATGTCTGGGGATACGATCTCTATTCGCATTGAGGTAAAGGATCCGTCTTGTTGAAGTACTCTCCAAGCATTGCTTACGAAAATTTGATGTGATCTATCAGTGGCCTGGATACCCATCTTTTACGAAGCAAATTGCTTCTAAAGACTGGAAGAAAACAAGGTCGCCGAACACACGCGAAAGACTGGCGGTCAAAGTTGCGGGCGCTGTTCACTCTTTCTTTAAGGTCAGCCTATTAAGAGTATCATGTCTGAAGTTTACTTAACCCTAAACAGGAGCATGCGAAAACTCAATGCGATCCCCCGAATTCGAGATGGCGTATCGGTCCTAATGGAATTCGCATCGAGCAGCTCGCTCTTGTCTCACTGCATCGTGTGTCACAGGGGAGTTGGCAGCCCAAATTGTGTCTCCTTCGTGACGATGCTTAGCAGCGATACATCCCTTCGTTTGACATGTATGCCGTTTCACCCTCCGGCTATCTTTGATTGACACATGTCCTCACAGCTGTCACCAAGCATTATTTGTTACTTAGCATCCTGATTCATATCAGGCATCGAGCATAAGCATATACCACTAAGCATATCATCGGGCATTACATTTATTTTTTTGTTTTCTCACCTTCAATCACATTCAGGCATTGCATTCGGGTGCTTATACACTCGACATCAAGTTTTTATTGCAATTTATGGATCTGGAAGTGGCATTGTTTTCATATATATTTTTACTGTAATCTGCATGGCTCTTTGTTGTTCCGTTGGTTTATCCTAGATGGCTACCGATGATGTACATACAAATCGTAGCTCAAACATTTTGACTGATCCGAAATTTTGTTTTTGTTCGCCATCATGACTCGGGACACATAAACACCGCGGGGGTAGAAAAATGTGGGAAAAAAAGTATCTAACAGCTCCGATTGGACTCCGATCTGCGATAAGCACTGGTCTCAATATACAAATTGAATATTGAAATATTGAACGTTATTGAACGGTGACCCCTTTCAATTTTTCCTAAAGTTCAGCCCTGCAGGCTGCAGCTTGTACCATAACCCATATACTATAAGATCATACCTTTTCCCTAAAAACGCCGCTGCATCTATCTCAACTTTAGATCACCACATCAGCGATGGCTCAGACACAACCTGGAGGAGCCCAGCGCGTCGGCTCACGCTTTCCTAAACTCACTTTCATCCTGGACCAAGGGAAACAGTTCGGGCCCCGCGTTGGTAGGCTGTGCTTGACACGACCATCCGATACTCCATCCAACCATCTCATCGACATCCCAACACCCAATTTTCTCATCGGAACATCTCGTGGTGTAATTCCACACTTCTCAAGGGACCATGTTCATTCTGCAAATGGTATCAGCTGGATCAACGTATCTTTTGAGTCATTGTGAGTTGTCATTTCACCCTGCTATCCCCGTATGGTGAATAGTGACGCTTCGGATCTTCGACTTCAAGCCTCGAGCAAACACCCCCAGTACCCACTTATCAAGCGGGATCGCAGCCACTACATGATTTCTTTGGATTCGACAGCTCGAGACACATCGTTTCGCTTTCGCTTCGTGATCCTTTGGATGCTCGAGAGATGCCTCCAAATGGAAATTCACATGTTTCAGCTTCATGCATGCGTGGCGTGAGGAAGGTGATTATTCGTTTATGAAGGTAGAGTCTCCTCTATCAAGGCTTTTCATTTTCATTTTTAGGTTACGCCTGCGGACTGGCGATCGTATGTTCTGACAATGCAGCCTGATATCGCGTTTGCTCTCAGTGATACGCCTTTTACTGCTGCCCCGCACTCGCAGAAACGCATGACTAAAAGCATCGAGCGCAGTGCGGCTTGGCTCGCAGATCTGTTGCGTCCTGTTGAACACACGATGGATGACTCATCCACGGAGTCAACTCCTACTGCTTTGAATGTCTTCGTGCATATGGCTGGTGGTACTTCGACTTCCGCAAGGAGAGCCTTTTCGCACAGTCTCATGGAGACTCTTCATGGGTTGGAAGCAAACGCGGTGAAACCACTGTCATGTTTGGATGAAGGAGTAGCTGGATATGCATTTGACCTAGCCGCCCTTCATGTCAGACCAGCTCCTTCGTCGATCCACAGCAATAAGGGCGGAAGCATCGAAATTGCAGAGAGCTCTTTGATTCTACAGAACTCGGAATCATTAGCACAAGCGCCAACGCCTAACGCGGCTCATACACCCACATCGCTCTCGTCCAGCATGATCGAGCCTCTTTCCTTCCTCTCCCTGACCCCCACATTGGATGAACTCCTCCGCGCATCGTTAGATCCTCTCCCAATCGCAAAACCACGCCTTGTCACGGATGTTCGATCCCCTCACGAAATCCTGCGTTTGATCAGAGATGTTGGAGTCGATGTATTCGATGCGGGATGGGCTGTAAAAGCAGCTGATATCGGAGTGGCTCTCGATTTTATTTTTCCAGTGCCCAGCAGTCATGACAGTGGTCCAGACCATCGCAAACGCGACGTTGGTCACAACCTGTACGATGCGAAATACGCTTACGACTTCGTCAGGTTGTCAGACGCCTTCCTCGCTGGCTGCGATAGAACATCTTCGTCTCAAACTCCCGTTTGCCCCTGCGTTGCATGCTCTCCAGTTGCCCTCACGTCTCCGATCTACCATAGCAAAGTTGACGTTCAGTCGCACCAAGCGCATTTAGACGACGGCATGAGCCGGGAACAATTTTCACCTCCTTTCACACGAGCCTACCTGCACCACCTCTTACACACCCACGAGATGTCTGCACACACACTCCTTGTCGCACATAACGTCGCCGTCCTTGATGCCCTGCTTACTGGAGTGCGAGCGATTCTTTCAGGTCATGCTGATCAACATGAAGCAGCAACCATTTTTGCCCGAGAGGTCACAAGGTTTGAGGAGGTTTACGATGGGGATATGTCAGTGTTCCATACTGCTCTGGAAAACTGGAAGGACGTGAAGCACGCACGGGGTAAAGGAAGATTGGCGCGGGAGGCACAGAAAGAAAAGAAAGTTTGATCGGTACATTCTAATGAGGTACAGTAATTGTACAGTAAGTTTCATAACGTCGGTTACATACATTCCCGTTACCATAATGCATACATGTTCCTACTTGGTATTGTCAGAGATAGCAGATGGCCGTTCCTAGGATGACATAATCAACAGACATGTTCAACCTTGTCGTTCATCTGCACTGATTGACATCCTGCATGAGCACAAAAGGGTACTTCGCGTTTCCTCCTCCGATATCAGGCACGTCAAGACCATACCCCGCATTCATACCTCAGTCCCCCAATACCATTGAAGCATTCGTTGACAAAAGCACAACTGGGAAAGGGGACGAGACGCGTAGCGAGAAACCGCCGCACGATGAAGAGCGTATCAATCGACTTCACAAGGAGCAGGAGCTCATAGAGATGAGCGAAATAGAGTGGGTTCGAGGCGGCGGAGTTCTGCGCGACGCACAAGGGCGCCGCGATGAAGCCCGCACGGAGCGTATTCGCGCGGAGCTCAAGCTGCAAGAAGAAGAAAAGACAAAAATAGGCAGATGGAGGGATTACGATGAGCGGTGGAAAGCGCTGGCCGCGTCGGATGAAGCTCTCTCGTTCGCAGATATCCCGTGGCCGCTTCGGACAGCGCCTTCTTCCAGAGATACCGATGCTTTCACGTTACCTGCGATTTCGGAGTTCCTGTTCGAGTCTCTTTCTGTTCGGAGTAATGCTGTTACGAAGAAGAGTAGGATCCGCGGCTCCATATTGCGGTGGCATCCTGATAAGAGCTCGTTGGTCGTTGGCAGGGTTGTGGCTGAGGACGTGGATGCTGTTCGAGAAGGCATTCATGCGGTGTTTCACTGCCTCAAGCGTCTACAGGATGACGAAAGAGACAATAATAATAGCGTGTAACAAATTCATCCCCTACTGGAACGAAATCGAGGCTCATCGTAGCACACGTACTTGCATCTGGTCTTCCAGTAAGTAGTCATATCATCGGTGGTAGGAGTCCAAGTCGACAATGTCATTTCATTTCCATTCACAATGAGCTGGCTGTTGCATACTGCTAAATTCCTTGTGTCGCCTCGGACTAACTACTTATCGGACTACATCCATATTCAAGAGCAATCGGATTGACTCGGAGCAAGTACAGCACGGGCCCAGGGTAGGGTAGGCTTACTAGTACCCTCCGATTACTTCCTCTGCTCAAGCTACTGCAATATACATACTAGTGGTACAATCGCACGGCTCAGCGGACGGTGTACCATACAGAAATATAACAATAACATGCACTATCGCAACATAGCGGATCTATACTACTACTAGTACGAGTACTTGTGGCAACGTTCCAAAGCGCATCACTGTCCTAATCTGGACTGAGGTGGAGCAGTGGACGAACATCAAGTGACCCCTCGATCGATCACGCTGGTGGTTTCATTGCAATGCATTATTTTAGTTATCAAAAGACGATGGAATCGACCAAGATATACATTCAAAAGGCAATATAGCATCTTACTACTCATTCGTTAATCGTCGTACAGCAGTGATATGTAATATATCATTGCTATATAACGATTAACGAATGATACAGTATGTACCAAGTGCCACGGTTATAATAAAACCAGATGCAGTGTCCCACGTCATGAGTATTTCATCCAAGAGTAACACTACAATGGCTTTCTGCAGCCTCTCGTGCCGCTTACGTCCAATCCTTCCGACCTCAACTCTCAAAACAGTCTTGTCGAGGTTGATAATAGTCATTTCATGAGGTTGACGGATGCGTGATTCCCAGCTCTCTGGGATCCGCTCATGAAGAAGAAAGCTGTGTAGGTCGTCTACACGACCTCCAAAGATTGTAATTAGGGTCGAGGCACTGACAGAACGCTCAGAAGGATGCTTGGAATGAATGACGCAATAACATACTTTGTGCTACCAAAGATCTTGTGGAAGAAGCTGAGCGAGAACTCCTTGTTTACTGCACGCGCCACTGCACGACGCTTGCCGAGAATCCTAGAGCAATCTTTAGTGGTGATGATATCATTGCCGTCCCTGTCCTTGCCGGTCGCTGCCGCGAGTAACTCCTCAATGAAGGGTACGTGTGTTATCGATTGGTCTGGTTGAAAAGCAGTGTCGAGGCCTGAAGACAAATTATTGAACATAAGAACAAGCGGAGAAAATTACTCACGTAAAAGAGAGGCGTCATGTTCAATACCATTGTGCAGGTCGATTTCTTCTAGATCAAAGGTATCCTCGCTGAAGTTTCTTTTAAGCATGCGAGCGAGAAAGTGCAGCACGAAAGAAGAGAAGGTAGGACTGAAGTTGTAGGTTGCCTGGATATGGTTGTTGAGCTCGACAAACGAGACCCTACGGCCGCTGCGCGAGATGATGCCTAGGTTTTAAATACCGTCACACTGAGATTCATCACCCAGAATTAGAGAATAACTCACCATGGTTGGCCATCGCATTGAATGCGGGGCACGAGCAGCGGGAGTTGGTTAACTGGGGAGGTATGAATTCTGGCCAGTGCCCTCCATAGCCCGGGCGGCCCTCAGGGATGACATCGCCTATGGGGTACTTGCTCCTCAGGAGGTTGGAGAGCGTGAGGAGCACATCCCAAGCCATGATCCCAACATCGAAGAAACAATGGGACAAGCCAGAGAAGAAGCCCATATTATTTCCGTGAGGATAGGTGTAGTTGGAGACGGAAGCTTGTGCTAAGCTTGAGTAAATATACGAGATACAAGCAATGTTTGGTGTGATTGTGTTTGCTTTGATCGGAAGGCTCCATATCACCGCATGCATTATATGTCGAGTAGCTGCAGGCCCGGGAGTCGCATTTTTCTCCAAGAGGAAGTATCTTGAAGCAACTTGAATTCAAGCTGAAGGGAAAGAGTCGTTTCTTCTATATCTGTTAGTAGGCTATGTACTAGGCCACCTACCAATAGGCACCATCAAGCTTCTGCCACGATGCATCCAAAGTTCAGGGTTCGCCATTGTTCCGGCTAAGAGAAAACAGGAAATCACATACGAAGAGAATGGTTCGATCGTGCTTGAGAAACTTCATTTCGTGGAAGACGGAGGCATCTGCAATTCTGCATAACTCTAGGGCTCGCCAGTTGTCAACAGGATCGTGACTGCCAAGAATAAGGATACCAGTCAGTAATAAATTAACATCATGATGTGGGTAGCCTAATTGGCCCGTGCGGAAGGCAGAGGAAGCGTGGAGATAGCCGGTGCAAACGCGACTCCCTGCAGACGACAGGGAGTCCTATGGAAATTTGAACTAATAATACATGAAGAGTGAGCCTAGCCAAAAACCTGCGAGAAAAAGCCGTGACGCTCCGAAAAACTAGTAATACATAACAACAAGAAAACGACCAATAGAAAGACATGAACTCTCGACCGCTATACGTTATAAATAAGGGAGGGATGGGAGGGAAAGAAAATAAATAATGATTTGAAAATAAATAAATATAATTGAGCGAAGCGATGGAAGAGACACCAAATTAAGTTGCCGGACCATCGTGAATAGAATGTCCACCAAACAGCAACACTTGCAGCAAAACCGGGTTCTTACGAACATAGCGTTCCCATGTATCTGAATGCCAACGCCCAATTCGCTGAATGCTGGATGGTGAGACACTGGCACCCGCAAGAGAAGTTGCACCACCAGCGCGCAATGAATGTCCCGCAATGGAGACATCAAAAAATACGCGCAAATGACGCATAAACCATGCCCGACAGGGTGGTTTACCAGAGCTGCGCAACCAAAGGAAAGGTTGCAGTTGGAATTTGACATCCCGAATGGCAAGGTATGCCGTAAAATTTTGTAGAGGATCAACGGGACCCTCACACCGTTGAATAAGTACTTCATTCCCTTTGAAATGAATATCTGCTTTATCGCGAGGCAGAAGAAATGAAAAATAATCAGCATTCAAATGAACTGAGTGACGCAGAGACAACTTTGCATAATCACGAAGTTCAACTTGGTCTGGCCACACTAGCTCGCCTAAACGCATGAGGCCGAAGAAACCGCATAAGAGTTGAGTGAGCCACAGGATGTCGTCATACGACAACGGATGAGGCATGCTAGATGTAATGCAGACTAGATCATCGCGTAATAGAGGCTGTTTCTGAATTGCAGGGCGACCAAACCGACGTGCAGATCCCTGCAAGGAACATTTCACGAGTTGAGATTGACAAATTTGACGAATGGATGGAAAGTACAGCTCCAATTGGCTAACAATCCCTGACAGATAACATTCCACAGAACGAGGTTGTATGTGTTGGCACATGTAGACCACGTAGAACAATAGAGTATCAGTGTTTGGTTCCACGGCAAAGTGATGCGTTGCGCAGAAAGACAAATAAGAGTTAAGATGAGATGAGTAAGCCCGAGAGGTTGCAGGATCAAGAGCAAAACCAAGAGAAATAGAATGTTCAAGTATGAGACGTTCTAGGGACCAGGCCTCCTGGAGCGGCTGCCTGGCATTAGAGGATTGAGAGATCATTTTTTCGCTGCCCCCAGCGCATTCCGAGGGGGTTGAAAAGGTGAGATGAGTAATCCCGGAGATACTCGAACAGCTTCTTCATTCTTCCAGCACGAAAGGCAGTCAGCAACCGTGTTATGTATTCCCGCAACATGAAAGACACGCAGATCCACGTGCAAAGCCAGGATAGCATCCATGGCAATCAACAAAAGCCAATTATATGGAGGTAGTGCTGTGAGGGTGTTGAACATCGCGACCAAGTTCATGTTGTCAGTAAACACCACCAATCGGTCATAGGGATGCAGCCGCGCAACTGTGTCTAGAATAGCGGCAGTGACAGCCAACACCTCGAAGAAGAATATGGTGCCCGAAGGGCAACCCTCAGGCAGGCGAGACTGAAACCTAAGGTTCAGAGACGGGAACCAATATCCCATCCCATCCCCAGAGGCATCAGTATATATGGTTAACGTAGCCTGAGACATATGATGAAAGTCCCAGGCGAGAGAGCGGATGAAGTATATCCCATCAGAGGTAAGGAGATGATTGATGACTCACGTGAGCTCACGAACGACATCCCAGTTAATCCAGATTGAAGCTCTCTGCTCCAGTTTGCCTGCCGTTTTGGCATATACTGCTGAAAGGCCAGGACGTAACAACGGATAAACGTTAAGAGCCCAATTAAGATGTCCTGCAAGACGTTGAAAGTCCTGCAAGGATCACCGAGTGCCTTGGATAGCAAAGCCATGAAGATTGTCGATGAGATCTGAACGCGATTGGTCTGACATCCTAATGTGCATAAGGTTGGGGTCAACATCAAAACCAATAACAGGTAACTCCATTCCGAAGACCTGCTTTCATTCTTTGTGCGGAATTCCGAGATGGTCCCAGAGCTGAAGAAGCTTGCAAAGATTACGAGGCAACACCTTGTGGTAAGGTGCATACAGTTCCATTTCCTCCTTTCGTTGAAAGGAAAAAGAGTCGTCGACATAGATGTAGAGATAGAAGATGAGAATTTTAACGGTGGCGATCCAGATTACGAGAGACATGAAAGTGTGATAAATTCATTGGGAAGTGCGACCACCGAAGACATTACAGCAATTGATGAACCGCTTATTCTCCCAGGTTACCACCTGTTTTATCTGCCAAAGCGGATGCATTGGCATATGACGATACGCTTCTGAGACATCAGCCTTCCAAAGCTGCAAGTCCCCTCCCAAATGAGATCGACGATAGTGTCAGAGACCACTCCCAAGATGCTGAATGTTGTCCAGAGTCACCCTGGCAATGTCATCCCGAGAGATCATCAAATTAAGAGCATACACTCCAGCGCTGTGATCAGTAACTAAGCGGAACTTACTAGTCCCAGGCTTAGGCACAGCATGTACCGGCATACTATACATCCCTGGTAAAAGATCTGGTCCAAACTCCTCCGAATAGCAACCAAGCGCAACTTCTTTATCGATTTGAGATTTTACAAACTCCTTTTCGGCAGCAGACTTGAGAGGACATGAAAAGTTATCGAAAGTTAAGGGCCAGTCGCCATAGTGCGTATCAGCGAACGGCCAGAAACCTTCACGAAGACCGATGTAGCACTCGGATCGGCGTTGAGCTCGTATCCTGCCAATTCCATAGGTATTTCACACACATATTCCTCGACACTCCATTTACCTTCCGAGGGTTCCGCGCGCTCGTCTGAGTCGTCCAGAGGTCGTCCATCTATTTCTGAGGCCTGTATACAGTTCCGATCCTCCATACCATGTCCCGTCTGTGTCTGTTTGACTTCGCTGGTGCGTTTTTCACTTGGTTATCTGTTATTGATTATGTCTAGGGGCACATATGTCGTCGGCCCATCAGTTACACGTATAACAACACACCTTGCACCTTATTACATGCATATCTCTGTAGCGGCTCGCCTCGAGTCTTATTACATTTCGGATGTCTTATCTCGCTACTAGTTTTGCCTACGCAGTTTACGGACTTTCACGCTATAGGATATGATCTGCCTCTCTAGATACTCGCACTGGACTTCACTTTCCCTGCTACAAGTCATAGTTAGTAGAGTCACTTTCGGATAGTCATACTTCACACAATCAATCTTTGTTCATTCGGAATGATTGTTTGGCCTGACCGCTGCCATTTCGCTCTTCGCTGTCTCTGAGTTCTCCCGATAGTCTTTGCTTAGTTATACTTCGCAAGTCTTATACTTCGATACACCCGCCATACTTCTCTCGGAACCTTCGCTGTTCAGCAGAAGCTCTTTGGACGCTTTGCGCAACCTCGGACCTTCGTTTCTAGACGTCGGACCACCCTCGGACCACTTCAGACAAGTACTTCGGTACTTCGGACATATCCTCGGAACACCGAGTGCACTCTTGGTAACTTTCCTTCTCTCACTTCGATCTTAACAAGATATCCCTTGCTTTATATCAAGGAGCATTTCTATAGGCAGTCTCTTTGGGACGAACATCTCACTCACACTCTGAGTCTAAAGGTAACACTTTTGTAGCGCCCACATAGAATCAACTCTTTACACCGAGACAAACAGAATTAACAAAGTCAGGATTAGGATGGTCCGAAAGCAAGGACTCAAACTCCTTGATGTTGATAGAGGTAGACACGTGAAACAGATGCGGAAAATCCGAGATGGTGCGAAGCGCTGAAAGATTTTTGAATTCTTGTTTTGGAGGCCGAGGCAAAGGTTTAGCAGATTCTGTCCACAGAGCAGTCGGACTTTGAGGATGTGAGCGATCATTCCAGATATTCTTTCTCCTATGACAAGGAGACGCTGCAATAAGACTATTTTGATCCTTCTCCAATCTTACCGAGCCATGGACAGTCGGTTTTCTTGTGCGCTCCGCGACAACCCTTTCGGTCACAGCAATGGGCAAAGAAACATTCCGAAGAGGTCTTGAGACATGTTCCTCGATTCCACTTGTGACAAGGGTCTCGTTTTTTTCCTCCCCCACTTGCCCAATCTGACTTCCCTCCTCCGCTAGAGTTTGATTCGGAGGAATTGGGACCCACGCCAAAGGAGGACAAGAAGGTGTATTGGAGTTCTCCAAATGCGGAATGATCAGTGAGGCATAAGTGTTGTTGGAGTGACACCAAGGTGTGGACCGCTTTATCGTACTCGATGACACGATGATGTCATGAGGTTTCGAAGGCATGAAAGAGTCCGGACATGTGAGCATTCCAACTGGTGTATTCTTCCCAATGCTGTGGAAAGACGAAGGTAAGGGCATTAATGTACTTGGTGAAGGCAATGTTATGATCTGAGGCTGAGTGGATTCCAACCGAAGATTTGTTTGCCCGAAATGAGAGTTCAACTTTGTCGTCGATGACGTGTGTCTGTTTGGGTTCAAGGTCCGTGGAATGGGCGGCTTCAAGGACCTTTCCCAAGTCGACAACTTTCCATTGGACAATATTGAGCCATTGTTCCGGAGGGAATGGTGGACATCCAGGCATGGATAAGATGTCCCAAACAACTGCTTTGGGGTCAACTGCGAATCATTCAAGTTGGTCGAAGGTTTGTCTGATATCTGGCGCCAAAGAGGCAATGGCACTGACTCGCTTTTCATGCCATGGAAACTTGGAGGTATTGAGGTGTCCTCGAGATCATTTGATTCGAGGTTCATCCTCGTCAGAAGACTCGGAACCTGCTCATTCCTTTCTGACCCTATTTTCATCCTCTTGAATCTCTTCCCTTGGAGGTAGGTCTCGCTCTTCTGTTTCACAAACAGGTGACCCTCTCCTAACTTGACTTCCCCGCTCGGCAGCCTTTCCATTCGCTCTATCAACGGAGTCGAGCATATCGACATAAACTGCCAGGGCTTCTGGGAGGCTTCCTCTGACTCTGATACTGGTTGATTCAAGAAGGACTTGATGCAAGGCAAGGATGGTGTCTGCCTTTGCGTTTTCTCGTTGACGATATTGTTCAATAATCTCATTACATTTTTCAACACACTCTGAGTCCGAATGTGCGGGAATTTCTTCCACTCCAGACGAAGTGGTTTGAGATGTGCTGGAGATAGCTTGTGATGACCCAATTCCATTATTAGACATGAGGAATTTATTTTGATGAAAATGAAGTGATTATGTCACAACCCTTTAAACGAATTAACGCAGGGCAGAAACTAGGACTCAAACAAAGAAAGATCACAACAGAGGATGGGCAGCAGGTATGTCTTGGATTGCTCACTTGGAGATACAAGAGGTTTGAACTAAAGAACTACTGACTACAAGACACTACCTATATACATGTATTGAGATGGAGATCGAAACTGAGTATGAACTAACTAACCAATGAAAATAATTAAAGGTATCGTATGATTCTATATATAACTATGATGTTGTTACGACACACGGTTGTGTGCGACTAGGATGATCTAAACAGCGACAACCATGACAGTGGTACCGAGTGCTGAGAGTCGTCGGCCTTTACAGACAAGCAAAGGTTGTGTACTCGAACGTAGCTCATGGTGGTTAACGAGGGGTTACGCTGAGATGATAGCGGTTTACAGACAGTGAGAGGCGTCACTGAAGGTACGAGTCGATGTCGAGCAGGTAGCTTTAGCGGGACAAGGAGTTCAAGGGTAAACCTAGTAAGATTAAAGTAAGGAACATCTACTTTAATCTTCGACCTTATATAAGGCTACTCTATCGTATCTAAGCTCAGCTCGAAGCTGGGTTCTAATCTGCTTATCTACATGAGTCAGAGATAGCGTCCATGAGGCGGGCTTCTATTGTAGATAGGGTCTATGCGGCACCCTTCTATCAGTACATGAGGCAACACGAGGCTTGCCTTCTATCTTGATAACATAAATAGGTCTTCTAGACCTATGTCATCATGTGTCGTCATATGCGGTCCAGACCGCTTATCTAAGCCGGCAGTTGCCGCTTATCGTCTATCATCATCTATCGTCATCTATCGTCATAGAGCTGGTGAGACTCCGGTATCGTCTATAGCTGTGCGGTGGCGGAGGGCTGTCTGCTGGCAGGGGACTCATGCCATGTTACTGTAACAGATGTCATAACATGTGCCGCAGCCGCAGTAAGACTCTGGAACATTCCAAGAGTGTCGTGTGGCATGATGTCATCTTCTGATAAGTCACGTGATTCAGGTACAGGGGAATTCGGTAATTCTACAATAGACGCCATAGGCGCTTCTTCAACTATAAATATGTTCTTAGGTTTATCTTTAGGTACATACTACAGGCGCTATACTTGTGCGCTTAAAGGACTTCGAATTTAGGAAAGTATAATGGTTCGTATTTGGAACTCGTGACAGATTATGAATTATGACACAAAAAGTTTCTGGCGAGACAATGAGAGGAGGTCAGAAAGAGATTAATCATATAATATAAAACTAAAGAGAACCTACCTGGCGAGACGACGAGAGGAGGTCAGAAAGAGATGAGAGCCCCTTACAGTCGTCACTCGCCAGGCAAACCTCAAACTCTGCTATAGGAGAGGAGGAGTTTGAAAGAATATTGGGATTGTTGCCCGACAAACAAGCCTAAAAAGTACATGTGTGGCCGCACGACCATAGCAGGGCTTAGACCAGCGCACATGCAGGCTTGCAAAGTAGAGGATGAGTCACTTTTGAGGACTCGAAGTTCCGCGACAGACACGCAACCGCTTTTTCGGCCAATTAGCTTCGTATAACTCACATTAAACCCAAAAAATTCAAAAAATTCAAGCCGAAAGGAATCATACCATTCACATAAACACCTTGGTACTGAGTCAAACGCAACGCGAAGCTTGAACCGTGCACATGAAGGCCCACCATGATGGTGCAGATACATATAGCTATAGCGAACGGACTTTGCGGGAACGTTAAGACGGAGCTAGAAACACAAGGTACGATCTCAGTCTCGTTTGAAGAATAGGGTACGGTTGAAAAGTCGATATTTTTCAACAGCTGTTTATAATACCTGTTAATAACTGTTAATAACACTGTTGAAAAGTCATCGTGTCCCAAGGCCTGTTGAAAATTGTGAATAAATCCAGGGCGTGTGGGAATATTTTGAATCAACTTGCGAGGCTCGAAAAAGTACAATCGGACCCCTTCCGACCCCGCCAGCCTTAATTTTAACTCCATGCCAGACAAACGGACAGGATCGAAGTTCACATGGGCGATATGTGCTAACCAGATTGCTCAGACACTTGTTGACATGATTCAAATTGGACAGTAGTATGACATTCACTGCTGGGCTGAAAAGATGAGACCACGAAAGGAACCCTATCGACCGACAACCGACGGTGAAGTTTCGTGATATCAACAGAGACCTTCTTCGTGCTGTTACCACATGAGTCAAACAAACTACCAATGACGTGCCTGCCGAGGACACTGGACACAGCAGTGACAACTCAGAGGACTTTTGGATGGACCAGAACAAAGCGCCATTGTCGAAAATGAGGCCCGTTGACTGGATATTCTAATTTTTCACATTTTTTCACTGCGAAAACATTATTCACACTGTTGATAAATATTTTTCAACCGGTTAATAACTATTAGTTGAAAATTGTTTAAAACACCTGTTGATAAATGGTCTGAGGCAGTCTGTTTATAAACAGCTGTTGAAAAGTCGCGGGGATTTTTCAACCGTACCCTATTGAAGAACTCTTTATTGACATGTGCAGTACCTAGAAACACAAGGTACGCTACGGTCTTTTGGTCAGCTAACGCTGACGTTACAGGAATCGACTAGGACTTACATCTCAGTCTCGTTTGAAGAACTGAGATGTCGCTATGATAGCCGCCTGGCTTTATACTAGGTGAGTAACGAACAGAAATAAAGAGATATCGTTTTGACGTATATTTCAGGGCGCAGTACGACGTCATGTCGACGCTGCCCATTGGCCGGTTCTGGCTTGCGCTCGGACCAGCAACCTTATCGTCCTCTGGCCGTACCTATCTGTCGGATCTCTCGGCCTCTTCTCTCTCAACTCCCTCGGACGATTCGGCTCTCAACAATAGCTATACAGTGTGGCGCAGTGTATCCTACAGAGATATGATGTGGGCACTCTGTAAGAACACAGCGGAAACGCAGCTCGGGATACAACGTTGAGGGATTAGGACAAGATGATGGCGGCAAAACAAAATACATGAGGCACAGCAGCAGAGTGTTTGGCATGCATTTCAAACAGAGTAATCTTGAGCTTGAAGTTTGAACACTCCAGGTTCACCTGAAGACGATTCTATTCATATACATAGGGAAACAAACATTAAAGCACATGAAGCCAGGTCTGCAATTGTACAGGGAATAGCAATTTCTTGCATCGTTCAAAGCGCGCCATAAAACATTGTCTCCTCATGGTCCACCCTATCCTTCCACTCCTCTATCCTCCCCATCGCTGGCTGAAAGCGCGCTCCATCCTCATTGGATTCATTCTCACTGTCTTCCTATACCTCGTGGATGCGATTATACGCATACCCTGCTACTCACAATCAGTTCAAGGGCATGCGTAATATAAAAATACACTGTCTGACAGCGCAATGCAAAAAGTTAGACGTGGATATTCACCAGGAAAGATAGCATCACATACCGTGCGAGGGTGAAACGTGACTTGGGCAATCGTGGAGAAACTGATCCTGACGGCATCAACTCAACAGATGACATCACAAACCCTATGAGAATAGGCAATCGCTGGCGGTGAAACACCGGCAGCACTGAAATCACACCCTGCCACTTTGACAGGGCGGGTCTTTGTCAGAGAATCAGCGTCAGGCAAGCAGGTCAAAAGACGAGAACACGCACTCTCTGAGAGCGGGACGCGGCCAGAGCACCATCAGCGCCGGGTGAGCAGGCCATAAGACGAGAACACGCACTTTCTGAGGGCGGGACAGGGCCAGAGCACCATCAGCGTCGGGTAAGCACACCAAAGGACGAGAACACACACCAACTAAGAGCGGAACGCGGCCAGAGCACCATCAGCGCCGGGTAAGCAGGTCAAGAGACGAGAACGCGCACTCGCTACAAGCGGGACGCAGCCAGAGCACCATCAGCGTCGAGTAAGCAACGCAAAAGACGAGATCACGCACAATCTGAGAGCGAGACGCGGCCAGAGCGCCATCAGCGTCGGGTATGCAGGTCAAAAGACGAGAATACGCACCGCCTGAGAGTGGGACACGGCCAGAGCACCATCAGCGTCGGGCAAGCAACGTTAAAGACGAGATCACGCACAATCTGAGAGCGGGACGTGGCCAGAGCACCATCAGCGTCGAGTACGCAACATGAAAGACGAGATCACGCACAATCTGAGAGCGGGACGTGGCCAGAGCACCATCAGCGCTGAGTAAGCACGCCAAAAGACGAGAACACGCACTTTCTGAGAGCGGGACACGAACAGAGCACCATCAGCGTCGAGTAAGCAGGTCAAAAGACAAGAACACGCACCCCCTGAGAGCGGGACGCGGCCAGAGCACCATCAGCGTCGGGTGAGTAGGTCACAGGACGAGAACACGCACAAACTGAGAGCGGGACGCGGGCGGAGCACCATCAGCGTCAAGTAAGCAGGTCAAAAGACGAGAACACGCACTTGCTGCAAGCGGGACGCGGCCAGAGCACCATCAGCGTCGAGTAAGCAACATAAAAGACGAGAACACGCACAAACTGAGAGCGGGACGCCACCAGAGCACCATATCAGCGTGGAGTAAGCAACGTAAAAGACGAGAACACGCACAAGCTGAGAGCGGGATGCCACCAGAGCACCATCACCATACAGGTTAGGGTTAGGGTTGTTGCACTTTCAGTTCAACATTGTTAGCGAAGTTTCATGGTAACATACCGTTTGCTGGACATGAAAGTTGCGAATAAGGTGCGTCTCTGCTTCAGTTCCGGGAATGTAGTCAATGCAGGATCGTGTTTTCCGCTTTGAACTTTTTCCGCGGGAGATCTGAAATCGTCGTTTGCATACTCGGCTTTCGGTTGTTAGGCGCTGTCAGCCAACAAAAAAGACAATTATACTCACCAATTGATCGAGCAACCAGCCTGACGTTGGAGTGAATGCTCCGCGCCAATGCGATTGACAGCGCCACAAAAGTGACATTGGTATTCAACTTTCGGCCGTGTCTCTTGTTCAAGGATGACCCTCATGACGATCGTTGTGCCTGCTTCGATTCTTGGCCATTTATGGCTTGTAAGTCGGGTTACTTGTTTGTCGTCGTCAATGCATAAATCGTATTGTCCTTGCTCCATATACCGTCTCTGAATTCGAGCTTCGATCGACTCTGATTTGAACAGAACCTGGAGCATATCATTGAGTTGCTATGGAGAATTTGATTAGCAAGCTTCCCAATACGGATTTTACGTTGGGAAGGCAGACCTGAAATGAGGTGCAAAAGGTCACTGATATTGGATGTTCATAGCCTGTTGCGTCTACTATTTTCACACAACCAAGTGCGGTTAACTGCATGGAAGTGGGTCCCACAGAATCCTGCTGCCTCCGTAGAATTGCCAACACTTCGTCCATGTCGTGTCGATTTTGCATTTGAGATGACAACTAATAAAGCGGAATGGTGAGTGCATGCAAACAATCTTGAGAGAGTAGAACACAACCGAATAATCCGCCAGATAATGGTCTATTTCGGTGGAGCATCCAGTGATATCTTGTGTAACAGATGCGTATGCGAGACCACGCTTGCCCAACTGTGTTACTTTGGCATGCATGTCTAGCAGCATCCTGAGTGCGACTCTATGTCAGTAAATTCAAGAACACATCAAGAAGGTATATACCCAATTATGGCTTTCCTCCGGTGTTGTTCAAAGGGATCCTGGGGGGTCGGGGCGTTGCACAGATAACAGCTTAGTTGTTGAAGTCGTAAGGTCAGGCGATCTAAGTCTGCCTTATTCTGAGTACGTCTCTGTGGCGGTCTTTGAATCAAGAAACATCCTGGTAATAAAATAAGCTCTCACATCTATGGCTTGAAGGATTGTCAACAATCCACCAATAACAGCTTGGATCGGAGAACCGACAACTGGAATTGCAGATGTAACGCCCTGGACGAAAGGACCAACTGTCTGAACGACGTCAGAAATTGTGCGGGCGGAATTGCCATGGGAGGCTGTAGCGGAGGAAATATTGATGGAGAACTCGAGGCTTGGATTCCCCGCCAGAGAACCAGGGTGCACTAGTAGTGATGAATTCCAATGGAGAGTGGATGAAGAAACGGAAAACTCACTGGGAATATCTGCAGAGATGGAGTCATTGTCTTCATGGTGGGTTGTCGAGCTGTACTGTGTGCGTCTGTTCTTTGTGGGGCGCTTCGACCGAATTGCGCATACTTTGCTGAGATCGAGATCCTTGAAAAAAGCCTTGATCGAAGCCTTGGCTGACGGAGAGGGCATTTTGTCGGGTGGGTTAGATGATAGCTGGTAAGAGGTCCAGGGAATACAAGACGGAGGGGAGCGAGGGAGTACTTAATAGCTGTGTAGAATACAGTCCAATCGTGCATGTACAAACCTCGTGTATACTGTATACTTACGTACATAGAGTTCTGGAATGACTTGCTGCGAGCACGCCTGGATCAGACCCTTGAAACATTGAAACAATATTGCAGCTCCAGCGATCGCGAATACTGGTGGCGGTGAACAAAGACCCTAGTAGGGTAAATTCGTCACGGCTCCACTTGGTTGCCGGTCCGACGACCTCATTTGGACTTTGTCAGCATGAATCGAGTGCTTCTTTTTTCTCTATTGTCTCCGTTGTTACATGCCCATTGCCCAAGCTTCTGGTTCGAAGTTGCGGCGCCTCGCCTCGCCCCTACCCTTATCACTGGTGATTAATTGATTTCAGATCGAGTTTGCAGACGACATGGTACTAGTGGGAGGTCTGTTGTGACGTCATCTGTTTAGGTCAAGCTCTTTGGGCCTCTCGCGAGCGTTTACTCTATGTGTAATCAATATCCTGCCGGTTCGTACCTAATCTCATCTTCATTGTGGACAACTTTGCAACGTTCAACCGAGAGCAACATGCTCACTGAGATCGCGTGTGAGGGTACTATTTTCTCAAAACAGTAATTCTCGTTGTTTTCTGAGCTCAAACAAGCACTAATCATCCCCTCTGCCTGTCCTCAGATGAATACAACTTATCAGCGCTTCAGACACAGATATATGTATCTAGTGAGCTGCTGCGGAATTTCTACTAGACACGTCTCTTTCACTCGGTAATCTCCCGTTTGTATCGTTCGTCCTGTATTCGGCCATCCTTCTGGCTAGACAAAGTAGTTGCAACATGTTATTTTGTCTAGACTTATTCGGTGTCTCTAAATCTAACTGAAACGCTGAATCAATATGCTTCCAATTTGATCCGACTCGACACCACAGATATCATGCACCACTGCCAGTTGATACGTATACGTGTACGTTCCTACACAACAACTGTACTTGTACCGAACGCAACGGACAAGGTGTACAAACATCTACGTGAGTGAAGGAATACCGGGGTGGTACAATGGAGACGTTAAGGCAAGGAAGTGGTTGCAGACATACCTCGTGCAGAAGTTCAGAACGAAAATCTGATCACCGAGCTCAAAGTGCCAAGTTTTACCAACACCACGAAGATCCCCAATGGATCACTCAGTTGGCGTTGACGTGAGTATTGAAAAATACAAGACACACTGCGAGGACCTCCCATGCAGTGCTGAGTGTCCAAGTTTCGGTCGCAATTTGTGTCGCTGGTGAATTGATAGGTGCCGAGGACAAGCACCTCCCTGATGAGCCTGATCATCCACCCATAATCCTTACCACTCGAAATGTCACCACTTGCCCTCGTCGCTCTGTAGCAATCCAGTTAGTTCGACAGGAATGGCAGGCATCGGTGCAGATTACCCACTACATCTGTCATCGTGACTCCCAGAAGACTCCCTTCACGCAACCAGCCAGAAGCAACGAGAACACAGTATGTAAGGAAACATATATGGCATGATGTTGCTGTTCATGAGAGATGGTTTGTTAGCTGAGTGCGAACTCGGAATCCATACAAACATGCAGGAAGACTCTAATGCGTCGAAGCTCGATACAGCTTTTTAACACAAATAAGTTATGTAGAGAACTTACTTAGGATTGGAGGCGATGGTGGTGTGAGAGATTCACATGATAATAGTCACGAGATGGTCGGTCAATGTGCTGAGTGAGCTGCACCCACCGACGAGGTCCTTGATTGGGCATCTGTTGAGTATTCACCTGTAATACCTGCCTTGCGAGCCATGTTCAGAATTTGCAATTGTTCGGCTCAAGCTCGACAGTTTGTTCAACCGCGAAGATTGAACAGGAAGGGGGGCGTTTTGTGTTTGAGGAATTTGCCTGAAAGCTGGAGGCACCTGCGTTTAAATTCAAGGGGCCAGCTGCGGAGCTCGTCAGTCGTTGACAGGTTCGTGACTGAGGATGTGTTTGAGTCTTCAAGCTATTCACGCAATCTCAAGCGTCTGCACAATCTCTCGAACACGAGGAACGTGCACCTTTACTAGCCTCAGACCAGACGCAATGCAATGGGTGATCTCTATTGTAAATTGTGAGTGAAACAACCAAGAACATTAATGTATATTCAAAGGTGATGAACTCATCATATTCATTGGTAAGGGTACTAGGTGTCGCGATCAATAAGGGAGAGCAGACGATGTGTGTAAGGTTGATAACGTCTGACGAGTTCCCAACATCACGTAGCTTCGGGACAGATTTTCAGACATAAACCTTATGACGTTCTGCAGCCTCCCGTGCAGCCTCTGCCCAATCCTGCTCGCACACACCAAGCTCAATTCCTAGTATGGTCTTGTTTAATTGCATCAGAGTTATTCCATAATGTTGGCGGATGTGCGATTCCCAGCCCTCTGGGAGTCGTTCTTCATGGAGGAAGCTATGGAGCTCGTCCACACGGCCTCCAAAGACAGTGACTAGGGTCGCGGCACTAACGGAACGTTCAAAAGTGCGCTTCAAAATGAATGATGTAATAGCGTACTTCGTGCTCCCAAAGATCTTATGGAAGAACGCCCCTTGGACCCGTACCAAGTGGCACCCCGACTAGGACCCCGGAAAACAACCGCATCAAACGCGCTCAACGGCGCCAAGGCAGCCCAACGGCGCCCTGCGCACACCCGGAACCTCAAGCTCGACCCTAATTATCATCAGTCACTCAACGGCTCGAACGCCACCCTCACTGCTCAACACCAACCATGCCGTCAAACGACTCAACCAATACCGCCACAGCAACTCAAACAGGAAGAGGCAACCGCAAAACCACTGCAAGCAAGCCTCTACTCTCATCCAGCAAGACAATAGAGGAACACGCACTAGGTCTCGGAACAAAGACCGACGTCAACAATTTAGTCACAGCGAGGAAAACACTCACATCGCATGGCCTCAACTTACCCACGGCCGGCAACACGCTAATGTCTATTTCGGTCGCACTCTTTGAATTCAGCGCAGCAGCCAACCTCGGAGCCACGCACACGGACATACTGCGAGCTTTCGCATACGCTGTCCATGATGCCCATAAGAACATCGACACCGAAAGTATCATAGCCAAGACCCAAGCCCTAATGGGAGGACCAGTCGCCACGTTGGACGAGAAAGTAGAAGTATTGGAAAACCTGTTGGAGAAGCATAAGAAGGACATGGAAGACACAGTGCAAGAGGTGCGTAGGAAGGTTCAATCATCATTGGCGGAACTAGTGGAGGCGGCAAAAAGCAATCGGTTGGCTACCCCACAGCAGACTTCCGTACCAGACAATGTGCCTGGCTCCAATGGCCAGAGGTCATATGCATCTGTAACCAAGGACAGCCCCTCTCCGTTACTAACAAAAGCTTTGGTGAAAAGTGAGGCGCAAGCCCGACAGATTTTAGTAGACAGGAGATCCCCACTCTTTGCCAATGCTCTTAAGGACCTAACAGAAGCACAACTAGTAGCGAAAGCCACCATGGCGATTGAATTCATGTCCAAGGACAACACAGAGGTCCCTGACAAGATGGCTGTCCTCTCAGCCTGCAAACTCTCGCATGGAGGAGCCCTCTACAAATTTGACTCCGCAGAATCTGTCCAATGGCTAAACGTCCCAGCACACAGAAGCAAGTTCCTGGAACACTTCGGTATTGAAACCGTCATCAAGGACCGGTCATTTAATGTGCTAGTCGAAAACATCCCCATAGCTTTCTCGCCGGAGAACAACGCTGCATTAGCAGAGGTCGAAACGAAGGCCGGATTAAAATCTAAGTCAATACACAGAGCCAGATACATCAAGCCAATGGCAAGACGCAACCCAGACCAGCGCACAGCGCACGCAATCTTCACGTTCGGCTCGAAAGAGAGCACAAACCAAGCAATCAAGTTTGGGCTCTCGGTGGAAGGCAAGAAGGTATATGGGAGGAAACTAATCTCGGAACCCACTAGATGTTTAAAATGTCACTCATTCGACGGATCGCATGTGGCAGCAAATTGTCCTCAAGACAACGATTCCTGCGGAACATGCTGCGGAGCACACCGCACATCAACATGCTCAGTCACTGACCAGAATCAATACTGCTGCAAGAATTGCGAAGAGGAAGGACACGCCGCCTGGAGTCGGAACTGCCCCACATTCACAAGCAAATGGGAGAACCACAAGAAACGGAACGAGGATGCTAAGTATCGATTTTACCTCACGGAAGATCCACTCACGTGGGAGACACTGACAAACCAAGGACTGTCCAATGACAGAGAGCCAGAACAACTGACCCGCCAGCAGGCAGCGCCCCAACAACACCACCCTCCCCCGAATGCTCCAACGTGGGAATGGCGAACAGTGAACTGAAACCAACAACCCCGTCGGACCCAAGGCAACCGGAACGCGAACCACGTACCACTAGGGAGGCAATCCCGCCTACCAGACAACTGGATCGCCAGCAAGCAGCCGTCACAACCACCGCCCTGCCGCAACCAGGAGGAAGAACAGCAGCACGCCCCGCAACTTGATTGGAACAAGTCCCCATACGGCTCCCCATATGATCAGTACAACCTGGAAGGATGGGATCAAGACCACTATAACGACCAATGAATAACAGCAACAATGAAGCCCAACCCGCAAACGACAGTCTCAAGATATGGCAGCAAAACTTACGCAAATCGCCCAACGCGTGGGAACATATGTTAAAGAACCTTAATCTGAACGAGTATGATATCGCCTGTATACAAGAACCATATTTAAACCCTGTAAATCTCGCTAACACTTCTAACCTTAAACAGTTCTGGGATGTAGTCTATCCGACGGACCACCACAACAGCGCAGGACGATCACAAATGCTCACCCTTGTTAACAAGAGACTATCCAAAAATAACTGGCACATAGTACCGGTCAAGTCCCCCAATATCACCGCGTTAGAACTCACAGGTCAATTTGGCAAGGTACGCTTATACAACATATACAACCCCTGCGACAGTGACTCCACAATCAACTTCCTCGAACCGCACATGCGTTCAGAAGACAACGCCAGACGCAACCGCGCGCCGAGGGTCGCTCAAGGTGACAACAGCGATGCGAATGAACATATAGTATGGATAGGCGACTTCAATCGCCACCACCCCATGTGGGAAATGACACATAACACGCATCTATTCACTGCAGCGAACTTAGATGCTGCAGGAGCCCTAATCAATCTCTTGTCTTTGTACAACTTAGTGCAGGTACTCCCTCCGGCAATAGCAACACTAGAGGCGTCCAACACCAAGAACCTCACCCGCCCGGACAACGTATTCTGCTCCGCCCAGCTAGCGCAGTCCTTCACGAAATGCAGTGTAGAGTATCACCTGCGACCGGTAGTAACTGATCATTTTCCTATTATCAGCACCCTGGACCTCACACCCGAGCGAATAGTCACAACCCCAAGGTCAAACTTCCGAGAAGTCATCTGGATCAAGTTCCGCGAAACTCTGTCCAACAAACTTGACTCAATCCCACAGCCAAGAGAACTCACCAGCCGCGAATCCTTCGAGACAGCCTTCACTAACGCAATGCATCGCCAGCACAGTGGCAGAAAAGGTACCAAAGTTGAAGCCATCCCCATACGCCAAGAGATGGTGGTCCAAAACCCTTGATGCTCAACGCAAGGAGGTACACAAGTTAGGCCGCAAGGCCAAACGATTCCTTGCCAGAAGAAATGATCCGATACATGAGGAATACAGGGTAGCGCGCAACCGATTCTCGGAGAGCATCAAGAATGCAAAGACGGAACACTGGAAGGAGTGGCTCGACAAGCTGGATCCCTCAGGCACCTGGACCTTTCACAGATACGCCGCAAGCTCCCCCAACGACCAAATTCAAACGAGAATCAAAACGCTTCAGGACCCAAGAGCGGACAACCAAAACGGCGCAACTCAGGACAATGCACGCAAGAGTGAACTACTATACGACGTATTCTTCAGGACACCACCGGAAAATGACCATGTTGACCCCAACTACGAGTATCCTCCCCCCGTCTGCGACTTTGCACTGATTTCAGACGCCCAGATACATCGCGCGATAAGCAAGCTAGCTGCACACAAGGCCCCCGGCCTCAATGGCGTCACCAATGTGGTATTCAAACAATGCGCAGACCTACTAGTCCCGTTCATGGGCGAAATCTTCAGAGCAACTTTTACGTTGAACATCTACCCAAACAAATGGAAACAGTCATCTACCATAGTGCTACGAAAACCAGGAAGACCAGATTACAGCGCCCCAAAAGCATACCGCCCGATAACTCTTCTAGACACCATGGCTAAGATCTTATCCTCATGTGTAGCAGACGACCTAACGTACATCGCAGAATGATACAACCTTCTTCCAGCCACGCACTTCGGAGGCCGACCAGGATGCTCAACAGTGGACTCCCTGCATTTACTCACTAAGTTCGTCACCGACTCATGGGCCTCACAAAACAACCATGTCTCACTGCTGTTCCTGGACGTCAAAGCAGCATTCCCAAGCGTCATAGTGAACAAACTCATGCACAACCTGAGGAAAGCCGGAATCCCACGTGAATATGTAGAATGGTACCGACGCCGTTTAGACAACAGATCAACATACCTGTTCTTTGACGACTATCAGTCCAATCTCTTCAATGTGATAGACGGAATAGACCAAGGATGCCCATTGTCACCCCTCGGATTCATATTCTACAACTCAGATGTCCTACGGATAGCTGACCCCAACCCAAGAAAGGGAGAGCTAAGTTTGGGATTTTTAGATGACGTAGCGCTAGCCACGAGAGGCAGATCCTACGAGGAGGCCAACAATAAGCTGAAGCATATGATGGAGAGGCAAGGGGGAGCGTTAGAATGGAGTGAAGGACATAACACTGAGTTTGAACTCGACAAGACTGCACTAATATGCCTATCTAGCAAACGCATCCCAGACCCTTTAGACAATCGCAAAACAATCCCAACTCCCCGCATCCCAATCACCATCCGCAACCACACCATCAGACCATCCAGCTCGCACAAGTTCCTGGGAGTAATCATCGACCAGAACCTCAACTTCAAGGAGCACGCTGCTTACGCGATGGCGAAGGGCACGAAGTACGTACTGGCGTGCAGGCGCATGATACGCCCAACAACCGGCATCCACGCAAAATTGATGAAGAAGCTATACGAAAGCGTCGTCATACCCAAAATGCTGTATGCAGCCGACGTTTGGTGCGCAGGCCTTGTCAGCAAAGGAAAGAGCGCGAAAGGAGGAGGTCGGGGAGCCAGAGGTTTCGCCTCCCAGATGGCTAGAGTGCAGAGGATGGCCATGTTACTGATAACAGGGGGACTAAGATCATCCGCGACCGATTTATTAGACACGCACGCTAACATACCTCCGTTTCAACAGACTCTGAGGAAAGCATGCCACCAGGCAACATTGAGAATGGCATCGCTCCCGGTGACACACCCACTAGCAAAGGGGATCAAGTCAGCATACGAGTACAGCGCAAGTAGGAATTTCCAGGGGAGAAAACGCTATCCATCACCCCTACACAAGCTGATGAATGAGTTCCAAACAGATCCATTCAAGATCGAGAAAATCGAACCGGTCAGACACAATCCCAAATGGGATCCGGACGTCGAAATTCGTATAGCGGACACCACACTGGACGCAATAACAGATGATACGCTCACCGATGAAGACTTAAAGTTATACTCAGACGGATCTGCGATAGACGGAGGTGTGGGGGGAGCGGCTGTGCTGATGAGAGGGGAGGAGGTGGTCAAAGCAAAGAGGATGTACCTGGGAAAGGTCGAAGAGCACACGGTGTACGAAGCAGAGCTAGTGGGAATGATCCTGGCAGTGCAGATACTGAAGGAAGAAAGAGGACGCAGGGGAGGCACCATGTCTCTTGGAGTAGACAACCAGGCAGCGATTCGGTCCACCACCGCGTTCAGATCCAAACCAGGTCACTACCTGGTGGACAAATTCCACGACGACCTTCGCAAGACGCTCCCAAAGATGGACGACGGGCGGCTCACCATAAGATGGACTCTGGGGCACGTAGGGATAGAAGGGAATGAAGCGGCAGACAAGGAAGCAAAGAAAGCCGCAGCGGGAGAATCATCAGGCGCTATGGAACTCCCCAAGTCGCTCCTAGACAAGGAAGGAAGAATCAAAGTCCTACCGCACAGCAAAACCGCACAGCAAAGCAGCACGCAAGCAGCACTTCCAGGGAGAGATCAAAAGCGAGGCTAATACCATCATGCGCAACTCCCCTCGATTCGCACAACTCCAATCAATCGACCAGTCAGCCCCGTCGAGAAAATTCACCACAATCATCAATACACTACCCAGAAAACACGGCTCGCTACTCTTTCAACTACGCACAGGACACGTGGCGCTGAACAAATACCTACACCGCATATCGAAAGCTCCGTCAGCAGAATGCCAGATATGCAACGAGCACGAGGAGACCGTTCACCATTTCCTGCTGGTATGCCCGGCATTCACCCAACAACGCAACAGACTCAGAGACGAAGTGGGCCTGCGTCAGTGCAACATCAAGTATCTCCTGGGAGAAGGGAAAGGAATGAGAGCAACGCTGAAGTACATCGCACGAACGGGGAGGTTCGAGCCAATTTTCGGAGACGTGTCGCCCCCAGAAGAGGACGAAGAGACGAGATAGAACCAAGGGAAACACAAACACCAATGTAATAACCCCGCAAAGCCTTAAGAAGGCTCCGCTGTCCTCGCATCAGCCGGGACCATTGTAAAGAGTTGATATAACAATACGGAAGAGTACATACCACGAAGTAGCAAGTAGCAAGTAGTGTCCACCATAGGGCCCTGCCCCGCAGGACAATAAACAAGGATTAAAAAAAAAATAAAAAAAATAAAAAGATCTTATGGAAAAAGCTGAGAGAACTCCTTGTTTACTGCGCGTGCGACTGCACGCCGCTTGCCGAGTATCCTGGAGAGATCTTTGGTGGTGATGACAGTATTGTCTTTTTTGTCCTTGCCAGTAGCTGCTGCAAGTAACTCTTCAATGAAAGGTACATGCTTTGTCGATTGTGTCTGTTCGAGAGCGGAATCGAGGCCTAAAGACGAATTATTCAGACATACACAAACAAGGATATCAAATCACTCACGCAAGAGGGATCCGTCGTGTTCAATACCATTATGTAGGTCAAGTTCTTCCAAATCAAATAAGTCCGCGCTGTAGTTTTTCTTAAGCATCCGAGCGGCAAAGCGCGGCACAAATGAGCAGAAGGTAGGACTGAAGTTGTATGTTGTCCGGATATGATCGCCAACCTCGACAAACGAGATGTTGCGGCCACTGCGTGGGATGATACCTGGTTTTTGATATCGTCAACACCAATACTACCACCTATGCTTAAGCACGGAGACTGGCAGGATCACTCACCATGGTTGGCCATCGCATTGAGCGCAGGGCAAGAGCAGCGGGAGTCGGTCTCCTTGGGAGGGCTATACTCGGGCCAGTGCTTTCCATACCCTGGGTGGCCCTCGGGGGTGACATGCCCGATGCGACGCTTCCTCCTCACGAGATTGGAGAGCGTAAGGAGGATATCCCAACATAAGATCCCGAAATCGAGGAAAAGACGGGACACGATGGAGAAGGGGCCCATTATAGCTATGTCGAAGGTGTTAAGTCGGGGATAGGAAGAGAGATGGATAGATGGATAGGTACGGTTCAAAGGAGCTTAAGTATACAAGGGATCCGAATAACGTCAGGGGTAGTGTCATAGGACTGACGGAAAAGATTATGTATCTCGGTACTGAACGCTTGGCCTGTGGAATCCCATGTCCCCCAAGTATAGACCGAGACTCATGTAGGAGGGCCCAACATTAGTGGCGGACAAAAGGAGAGATCAATAGCTTGTTAGTTTACGCATGGTTAAGCCAGACCATAGAGGAACTCGAAGGAACTGAAAGAAAGACTCGTCCAACAGTCATTGCTTTCAAGTTCATCAAGCTTCTCGGCTCTAGGTATGAATGGCCCAATGTTAACGTTCAACGTTCAGATATCAGAATTTGTGGCGGTTCCGAAGAGGATTGAAGTTGTAATTTTGGGCGTTCGATAGCTTGAATATTGACGCAGCCTTCCGAGAGCCGGAGCGCTAGGCCTGCTTGTCCAATCCCCAAATGCTAATACCACATACGAAAACCACATGGGACGATCAAAGAACCTGGAAACACTTGAGTTCGAATGACAGTGACAGGTCTCCTCACCAAGCCAAGTAGCAAGAAGTATCCGGTACTGATACCGCTGGACAATAGCAGTACAGTCCATTTTTGTCGAAATCAAATTCAAGTTGACGTTGAGCGTCTCGAGTGGAGTCCGGACTCAACGAGTAACTGATACAAAGTGTTTTTTTTGTGAAATGATGTTATCAACAGCTATAGCGACAAGCTTGTCAATTCTAAAGGATGCGGGAGTTTCACCCGTAGAATTCGATGCGAAGTTGTTCAGAGAATCAAAATTTTGAAATCGAACGTGAGTCACGTGATGTCGGTGCTTAATCTGGAGTCTGGACGTTCTCTTGGTTCCTTCAGGCTTCGATAGCGAACATGACAGCAGCAGCAAGATGCACGCCAGGGCTTGCTTCCACTTCATACAAGCTCCCTTTCATGATTTCAGCACCGAGATATAATGGGCACCGTAATGCCCGCTGCTTCTCATCCACGTGTCGACGAGCAGCCCACTTACGCGATCACTATGCAACCCTTGGAGTCCCAAGTCCCTCACAAACTCATGATAGACACATTTCTACCAAGTGAGTCGTCCTTATTGATAGCAAAGGATCCTACTCATGGTTTACGCTGACTCTTAGCTCAGCAAGAAATATCATTCCGATGTCAGTCAGGACAGTATGGCACGGGGAAATTTTCACGCAGTAAGTGAAGCTTACGCAGTGCTTGGGGATGATCGGAAGCGGTACGTCTCAAAGCGCTCACTCAGGCTGGCACATCATGCACAAATAACACAGGTGGCAGTCGCGTCTCTATTCTTAGTACGCTCCAATCACTCCAGCCACTGTATTACAAATGCCTTCGTCTGACCAGTTTCCACGAGATAAACTGAATACGAATGGCCCTCCTTTGACAAGAACGACAGCGGGGGATGTAACGGGCGTCACTAGTGCGCACTGCGGATGAAAGCAAAACGACTGGCAGCTTCACGCGCCTTGTGGTGGCGGCTTTGCCTCAGAAAAGGCAACAATATCCTTGATTCTTCCACGTCGGTTACGCTAGCATACTAGGTCTTGCCAATGGAACTGGAGCATCGCAAAATACCGGAGTCACTAGCGATAGCCACCACCTCATAGAATTGATATTCTGAACCTGTAATGGACAAAGTGCACTTGGCCAGTAAACGCCTTGGCCTCTACACTCGAGGGGTGATCTCCCAGTAAGCGAAATTCCAGTGCATTTCATCAAGACGTTCCCGGTCTCCTGATTTCAAATATAACAAGCAACTGGTAGGCAACTGGATACTAGTACTGTCGTCCATCGCTCATCTCTCCCAAACATCAGGCCTTCCGGCCCTTGCAGGAATTGTATCAAGCTGCGAGAAAAATGAAGGGATGGGAGGCTGAATTCTGAGCGGGAAGATCGATCGATCGTCGAGCAGAGTCAGCTAAGACCATGATATGGCAGGCCGGGGCTGTAGCTCACCGCTGAGCGCTCATCGATGCATCATGTGTCGATGCGGGAATGGCAAAGAACATCAAGAGACCCGGATCATGATAGCAGAACATGGCACGACTCCAGGCTTGCGCGTGGAGATGTAACTTGGCTGCGGACAAGAGTTATGTCTGCCTGCCGGTTGTAACCAGCAGAACTGACCCCAGGGCCTGAGTATTTCTGCCCCGTACTATGACAGTGAATTCGGCGAAGTCAAGTTTATGCACCGGTTAGAGCACGACCCATCTGAGCAGCCTGTGGCCAGTTCTACTCGTCACACAAAGAGTATTTAGAAACCGTCCAGAAATGTTCTCGGTAACGCAAATTTTCTAGATAAGAACAGCAAGGGTGCTGTGTAAAATGATGCCGGCGAAGACTTGAATGAACCGCTGCACGTCCTGCCAGTACTACGTACAGTCGACGAGACATCTTTGAATGTGGAATGGCCCTGTGATTGCACATGAGCACGATATCTGAAACTCAGTAACTTGTGCGCAAGTCAAGATTTACATGTGAAAGAATCAAGGTTCACAATCAGCTGTAGACTCGGAGGAGGACAAAAAGTGAGCTAAAGGATGCTGATGCCGATCGATAAACTACCGCTTCAAGCCAATGTGGATATCATGACAAGATGAACGATAAAACTGAGATACCCATGGACGTTCACCAATGCTTCTAGCAGCAGCAGCAGCAGCAACAACAACAGGACAAGCCGCCTCCATGTTCGCCGGTGTCTACCTGAACTGCTACTGGTTGATGTTGCTGTTGCGTATTGGGATCCTGTGAAGGAGGGTCTTCATCAGGTATCAAGGAGTGCTCACTCCCAGGAGCACCCGCTGCAGCATTACGCTGTAGATTTGAATATGAGACACCAAGAAACAGTCCGAACAAAATAACCGAGCGCACCTGTCGACCTTGGGCAAAAGGAACGTCGACAACAGGTGGCGTTGCATGATGGAGTGGTAGGGTAAATATGCGTCGTAGGTAAGTTTTGAAGGTAGTGGTGGTGGCGACGGGTGGTGAGGTGGCGGGTGGTGCAGGTGCAGGTGTAGGAACTGACTGAAACCTCCTCGTCATAGCGAGCCTCAGTCTTTTGAGATGCCCAAGGCGCCCAGCTCGCTGTTGAAATCTTGGCCCGGAAACCTGAGAATACTGTAATAAACTATGTGAGAGAGAACAGAAAGATACGCCTATGCACGCACTTGATGCATTCCATAGAAATTGGGTTCTGCATCATAGCCATCGTGATCTTGGCCGGGGATCTCTGCCTGCATAATAGTCAGTATCGAAAGAGGTAAGGAAAGAGGTATATACACCAAGAATACAGTCGTTGTGCGCAGCGAGCGTGCTGCATTTCTCCTTGAACTCTGAGTGACACGCGGGTGAGCATGATAGTCGTGGGTGACATGATGGAAGACTTGCCGTTGGACCAATCGAGACAGCTGTCCTTCGCAATGTCGTCGATGGCGTCCATCATGTGTGTGTGTGCTTCAAGGGCTTCGTCGGGTTTACCTGCTGAAAGGAAAGCCTGGCACCGTTTCTGGTGCGTAGTGAGCAGCAAGGATTCGAGATCCCAGCCGAAGAGCTGCAAAAAGAACTAGGTTATGGACAGCATTATGTATGCATCATGTCGACGCACCACAGTCAAGTCTTGGTATGCGAAATGAATGTATTTCGATGAGAAAGCGTCTGAGTTAATAGCGGCAGTGAAGTGATCAGCGGCTTCGTCGTGATGCGCGCCATCGAAAGCTTTGATTCCAAGTTGAACACGTAGATATGTCTATTGCGTAAGTTGAGAATATCAGGATTGATGACCGAGTGTGGCCACATGACACTCACTTCCACGACACGACGCGCAAGAGGATCGATATTCGGACAAGCGACATCCCGGTCTTTGATGAGCAGCATTGCTTCCTCGTGTTGATCTGCGTTGAAGAGTGCGATGGCCTGGAATACCGGATGAAGCAAATAGCATGGGAGACGAATTAAATGTACCTTGATCAAGAGAAGAAATTGGTTGGTTTCTGAATCTTGGTTTGTGAACGTGGATGCAACGTCGAATGCAACCATTGCTTCTTGGATGTGACCTTTTCCGCAGAGGGCGATGCCTTTCGAGATAAACCCAATCAATGATGGTTTAATGTTGATTGACTATGTCACGGATGAATGTTAGCCTTCCGTAAGATGGGTGGGTCGATCGCACCTTGATTGCATCCTCAAGGGCGTTGTCCGAGTTGTGCTTCCGTGCCATAACGAACGAACGATTAGCATATGAAGTAAAGTCGTTGGCGTTGGTGCGGATCTCTTGCGTGAGGAGCTCTTCAGCGACAGACAAATCCCCAGTTAGACATGCATCGCGGGCTGTTGTAATGTCAAGGATCTGTACGAACGATGCTCGAATTGCGTAATGAGAGTCAGAATGGAAACTCGCCTTTGAATGAGCCTCGCTGGGTACTGCCCATTCTGAGATCTTGTCTTCAACTCCGCTGAGGATGTGCTTGCCGTCCACAGAGAACGCGACACATGTCGCGGCGGATGAATGCTCAAAGACGGCGATGGTTCGTTGATCTGAGAGCCGCCAGAGACGGACACGCGTGTCGCCAGATGCAGAAGCAACGAGGGTGCCAGCGGGATGAATGGCAATGGCGTAGATAATATAACCAGTGTGGCCTTCCCAGGGACGACCGACCTGCTGCCAGGTTGATGTGTCCCACTCCCATATGTAATTACCACTTCCAGAAAGAAGGCGTGTGCCATCAGGCGTCCACGCGAGTGGCACCTTCCATAATGACTTGTGACCTGTCAAAGATGCGACGCGTTCCCTTGTGCCTGGATTATAAATTTGGATATTTTGGTATGTTGCGATGGCAAGAAGTTCACCAGAAGGCGAATATCGAACGCAGTAGACATTACTGCCACACTCGATTGTATCTTCTTGCATCTGCCACGTTTTGGTACTCCAAAACTTCACCGTGCTGTCATATGAACCAGTGGCCAGCACCGTTCCATCCGGAGAAAAATCCAAAGAATAGATTGCGTTGGAGTGGGCTTCGATCGGTTGAGTGATGAATTCGCCAGTTTCACCGTGCCAGGTGATGACCTTTCCATTTTCATCACTGCTTGCTATTATTTGACCATTTCGTGACATCGCCAATGCCTGCACCTTCCTGCCATGCCCTTCCATCTTCTTCAACACAGCACCTGTGTCCAAGTCCCAAAGACGAAGTGTATTGTCCGCCGAGCCCGCAATCATTCGTCGTTTGTCGGGGAACACTGCGACTGCAGTTATGCGCCCCCCATGATCTTCAAAAGTTCGAATGGGTGTGGTGCTTGGAATGAGCTGTGACATTTTACTGGACATTGATGGTGTTGAGGGATTGTGGGTGTGTTACAGAGGTGCGTGTATTGTGCGTTTTTATGTTACCTTCACGCGCTAACCTTCTTCGTCTCCATAGACGCCCAAGACACGAGGCAGTTCGCCATCACCGGTTCAGCAAGAGTGCTCCCAATCAGTCATAACCGAGTGCGTCTTGATCCGACTTGAACGTTGATCCCCGTCAGGAAGGGAGCGTTTCCAGTACTATGCACCAAGCTTTTGTTGCTTTCGCCTGCTGTGAATTCGAGCCCGAGAGCGACCATCATGCGCATCATAAATAGAAAATACAAGCCAATGATGTGTGAGACGAAAAGCAGTCTCGATTCTAGCATTCCAGTCAACATCAGTGGTCGTCCGCGCCTGGCCACCCCCATCTAACGAGCCGAGTCGCCCCGTCATGCCACGACCGTACTCTGCGGCTAGCTAGTGTGGACTGCCAGTGTAGAACCTATAAACTTCCATGAATACAGGTGCAGTAGTACAGGAGTACGCTGATCGTCACTAGTTCCATCATGTGGGTGCTCATATGTGCGCCAGCGTCCAATGTGCACATCCAAGTTTGTCAGCAAAAAGCGTCGGTGCGCAGGCTGCTTGGTATCGATCTATTGTTCGGAGAAATGCCAAAGGACCGCTTGGCATAATGGACACAAGAAGTGGTGTCAAGTTCTAAGGTGCACCGTTGGTGAGTCCCTGAGTCAGTCCTCGTCTCATACTTCTTAATCGAATTGCCAACAGGGCCGTGGGGCTCACGCGATTTCCAGTCATTGTAGACTTCGAAACCAGTGAAATCTCGGGAATGACCAAAGATGTAGAATCGCGCGTTCGTGAAGCACAGCAACAGTTCCCTGCATTCAAAGATAAACTTGTGCTCATGTTAGACATGACTGTATATCCGCCGGAGGTCCACGCGCTCCCCGTGCACAAGCTTGAGCAGTTTCCTGGGGATGACCCCATATGGCCAGAGATCGCTAACGAGATTCACCAACGAAGCGACTCACCACCGAAAGGATATATGTTTCAAGGTCCACCTGGGAAAGTCGAAGTTCACGCTGTTCAGCACGAGCACGGCGTTGCGTATGGCATTTGTGGGCCAGTATTTTTCGGATGATGAGGCATCTGTTCATGAAGATGAAATCGATGATTCAAAAGCGTTAGGCGACTAGGACTTGGATTACGATTCTGAGTCATTGGATAAGTGCTATAATGTTTGACGGTCCTTGTGCTATATGTTTAGTAGCTTTCGTTGACTATGACCTTGCTTTACTTTGTACAGGACACATGCAATACTAATCTTGTGGGTTGAATAAGCCGAGAAGTGGTAAAAGCGATCGATCAATATTTCACTGGATTTCAGAGATTGTATCCAGGCGACGTCCATGGTTCCTAATCTACACACAATGGAATGCAGGCAATATTAACTAGGACTGAATGCTAGCCCGTGCTTCCACAAATTCCAGGATGTCTGCGTCAGAGGGCCGACGTTCCATATCTTCTAACCAACAACTCTGGATGAAATTCCAGTCGCTGTCCCTGATAACAGGCGCGGGCGGCCTTTCGGGTCTTATGCCGCGTAATATCAAGGTGAGTAAAGTTAGATAGCCACCAGAGATGTAATGGTATGGGACCTTGCCCTCCAATACCTGCAGAGATATGAGCTGATTCAATACTGATGATCCAGGTTACGTGCCTGTAGCATGATCCCTCCGAAAGAGTATACATCATTTTTCGGAGAGAATACCGGCGCCGGCTCATTGCCTTCGTCATCGAGCGCCAAGCATTCTGGCGCCATGTAGGGTGCGGTGCCTCCGCAATTGGTTGGCATCAATGCTTGACTTATTCTCTCAGGAACGAGAGCAGAGAGACCAAAATCGGTGAGGTGTGCTTTTCCGTCTTCATCGATGAGAACGTTATTCTGAGCAAGCTTCAGTTGGGGTTTTACACAACTCTTAAATGTGTACATACACCGCTCAAGTCACCATGGATAATTGACTGCGAATGCACTGCCTCAATCTGTGTTAGCTGACTCGTATCAACGACAAAACATCGAACATACGATACTGAAGCCCTTGAGCTATGTCCTTGAGCTAAAGAGACCTTAACGCGCGGATTATAGTAAGATGAGAAATTGACCGAACCAGTGCAAACTTTTCGTTGTAAGAAAGCCTTTTGTGCACACGTCGAAGGTATCCGGTCAGCGCACCATTTTCTAACCATGGCGAGACAAGTGCTGGGAGGGAGCCAAAGCCATCTGCGACTCCCCAAAGAGGAACGATATTCTTGTGTTCAAGTCTCAACCATAGCATAATTTCCCTGAACAATCGCTGAAGAACCAAAAGTCAGTTGATTGAATGCAGAACCCATGCCTACTGACATTGATAATCGTCAACATGTCTGTATTGCCTCTCAAAATTATTTCCTTGACTGCGACCTAGATCACTATTAGAAAGGTAGAACGAAATGACGGACAAGGCACCTACATTGACACGAGTTGACATGGAAGGGGACTGATAGCCTTGTTGGACGGCATCAATGCCTCTTAGATCGAGCTTCAAGTCGCACCTATGAATAATACCAAATCCTCCAGTGTTCTGGTGAACATTGTTGAGCCGTTCGACCGAGGTCGTCAGATCAGCAGCACTGAAGATGATGAGCCTAACAGTGGCATGCATGAAAGGTTAGTGGCTTACCCGGAACTTTGGACTAAAACTAAGTAGAGGACCTTCTGGATTGGAAGATGGGATATCACCGCCGACAGGCACCCTTGCACCAAGTTCAAGTGCGCTTCATCAATCTTTGGATCAAAAACCCTCTGAGGGTTGTGTAAGATAAACATCGCAAGGATCATACCTCCACTGTAGGAAGAAAAGGCGATGTACCCTTTTCTTTTTCTGAAAGCACTTGACTCTCTTCCCAAATCCACCAGTACGGGACCTTTCCCGACAATACCTGGAGAATAGCAATGTAAAATGCATAGAAAGTTGATGAGCTGCACAACGTACCAGAATTGCGACGCAGCCATATGAATACACATCTCCTTCTTTCGTCGGTTTTGGTGCTCCCGTCTGGCCACCAGTGAAGATAAACTCAGGTGCAGTGTATCTTGCATCTCCCGGGAGCTGCTCCCTGAACATCTGACTATCTGCTTCAGCCAGGATTACCGAGTGACTGAAGTCTGCGATGCGCACACGGCCTGAACCGTGAAGGAAAATACTGTCCTAGGGATGCAGTAAGAATCTTTGCGTAACGTAAGTAATCGAAGCATACACCCGTTAAATTGCCATGCGCAACGTCCCACTTGTGTACTAAGGATGCACGTGAGTTCCATGCATGACCAGTTATGGGAGACACTGACGATATTCGATACCATACGCCACATCCAGTAGCTGTCCATTCGAGGTCAGAGCTGAAGAACCTATGTATGCCACAAACTTTGAATCATCAACTCACGATATCCAGCTTCCGACGCGCAGGTAGATAAGAGTGCTCTTGTTTCACGTAGTCGTGCAGCGAACCGCCTGCCATCCATGAGTATACAAGGGATGGGAGAATGCCAAAACCTTCAGTCATTCCATAGAGGGCAAGGATGGTCTCGTGCTTCAACTTTTCCCTGACATGCATCTCACGGCGAATCTTCTGCCAAGCAATACATCATGAATTAATCCGTGCAGCGAAGTTGAACTGTGTCTTCACTCACATCAAACACTTTGTTCATATCACTGTAACTGTCAACATTATCCCCCGAAGTCTGGACTGCGACCTGTCGACTGATGTATTACATACAATTCCGTAGATCAATGCATATACACTAACCTCGATCTCGCCAGACCCACGCACCACCCACTTGCATTTCAAAACCGCACCAAGGACGCCCAGATCATATGGATGATGTTCGCATTTCGTGAGGTCGTCTTGCGATATTCGTGTCACTGTGACTCGAGGTTGCGACACCATCGTCTTCATAGTCTCCGCGATGTTTGTCTGTGACCACAAGAACTTCACTATTTCGCCAACCAACGGGCGGTATTCCATATTCCTTGACAAGCATCGTTGTGCAAACCGTTCTATTTCTTCGTTGATACTAGTAGCCAATCTGGAGAACGGTTCGCGCCCCCTTACCACTGCTGCTATAACGTGGAAAGCCTCCACGAAACTGGCATAAGGTTGAAGGCCAGAAAATACCTGCCTGATATCACCATCGTGATACTTGAATGGGAACACGCGACGCACCTGCATCATGATACATCCATACGAGTAAATATCACTGGCCTTGGTTGGCTTGGCGTATTCGTCAAATAGCTCTGGAGCCGCCCACCGGACATTGCCTGAGTGACATGAGTTAAATGTAGGGTTGTCATATTCTGCGAGGATCATCGAGAGACCGAAGCCCCCGAGACAGAGCCTCCCGTCACTACTGACTAGGACGTGGGTCTAAATTGTGGAACCGTCATTTCTGCATAGAGTACGACGAACGAAACCTACATCAGTAAGGTCACCATGGACAATATCCTTGTCATGCACTACAGTAAATCAGTCAGTTGAAGCGCAAGACCAGAGCATCACTCACAATACTGAAGACCAGCTGCTATCTCCCTTACCTGACATGTTACGTCAGGGCTCAACGTGTCTCCGCAGATTTGAAATACATACCATACTTGACTTCCTTTCCCACGAAAGACCAACTTCCAATTTCAAATAATGGTGCAGTGTTCCATTTTCCATCCATGGACTAATAAACGCAGGAAGGACTCCAAACCCTGTCACAATACCGTAAAGAGGGAGAATGTTGTCGTGCAACAAATTTGCGCAAACGTAGGCCTGGCGCCGTATAGCCTGTCAACCAGAAATCAGCAAGTAACGTTGATATGCTATATCGAGACCTCACCAATGCAGTCCTTTCCACCGATGCCGTACTGTCCGAGTCAGCAACCCTCACTACCTTGATTGCAACCTAGAAATAAGCAAATCAATTTGCGTGCACACTTGCTTGGAGTTGGGCTCACTGTGACAGGGGGATTAGAGGTGGACCAGATACATTCCCAGACATCACCAAAGCCACCGGTTTGATGAGGAACATTCTGAGTTTTCCTGAGTTCTGCCTCTGGGATCTCTCGGAGAGGAGTTTTGAAATTAATGTTGTGTGGTGGCATCTTGGATGAGAGTGTGGGTGCAAATGATACGTCGAATAGCAAATCCAAGTAGGGTGTAAGTACAGAGCGCTCTCCCTAAATGATAGATAAGGACATCACCTGGACAAGTGTCCAGAGGTGTCCAGACGCGCAAAAGAATCGATCTATCACCTATCGGGCTATGCTCTTATCTATGAGTATTGTTCGGGTTGTCTGCAGCCTTCGAAGCTTCTCTGTATATATATAACGGTAAATTTAGGTTTACAATTCACGGATTGAATATTGAGTTCATTAGTAACATTCTACCATAGTATGATAGTAACCATACATGCATGCCCTTCTTGGCTCTGAAGCAGAAACGTGATCTATTCGACTCGTACCATTTTCTACCTTCAAAGGATATCTCTCCTGACGAACCTGGAGCACTTCAATTTTCAAAGTTCCGGGGATCAATCGATCAAGCTTGCAGCTTGCACCATAACCCATATACTACAAGATCATAACTTTTCTCTAAGAACGCCTCTGCATCTATCTTAATATCAGATCACCACATTAGCTATGACTCAGACACAAGTTGGAGGAGCCCAGCGCATTGGCTCACGCTTTCCCAGACTCACTTTCATCCTGGACCAAGGGAAACAGTTCGGGCCCCGCGTTGGTAGGCTGTGCCTGACACGACCATCCGATACTCCATCCAACCATCTCATCGACATCCCAACACCTAATTTTCTCATCGGACCATGTCCAATATTCTGCAAATGGTATCAGCTGGATCAACGTATCTTTTGAGTCATTGTGAGTTGTCATTTCACCCTGCTATCCCCGATGGTGAATAATGCTTCGGATCTGCGACTTCAAGCCTCGAACAAACACCCCCAGTACCCACTTATCAAGCGGGATCGCAGCCACTACATGATTTCTTTGGATTAGACAGCTCGAAACATATCGTTTCGCTTTCGCTTCGTGATCCTTTGGATGCTCGAGAGATGCCTCCAAATGGAAATTCACATGTTTCAGCTTCATGCATGCGTGGCGTGAGGAAGGTGATTATTCGTTTATGAAGGTAGAGTCTCCTCTATCAAGGCTTTTCATTTTCATTTTTAGGTCACGCCTGCAGACTGGCGATCGTACGTTCTGACAATGCGGCCTGATATCGCATTTGCTCTCAGTGACACGCCTTTTACTGCTGCCCCGCACTCGCAGAAACGCATGACTAAAAGCATCGAGCGGAGTGCGGCTTGGCTCGCAGATCTGTTGCGTCCTGTTGAAATCACGATGGATGACTCATCCACGGAGTCAACTCCTGCTGCTTTGAATGTCTTCGTGCATATGGCTGGTGGTACTTCGACTTCCGCAAGGAGAGCCTCTTCGCACAGTCTCATGGAGACTCTTCATGGGTTGGAAGCGAACGCTGTGAAACCACTGTTATGTTTGGATGAAGGAGTAGCTGGATATGCATTTGACCTAGCCGCCTTTCATGTCAGACCAGCTCCTTCGTTGACCCACAACGATAAGGGCGGAGGCATCGAAATCGCAGAGAGCTCTTTGATTCTACAGAACTCGGAATCATTAGCACAAGCGCCAACGCCTAACGCGGCTCATACACCCACATCGCTCTCGTCCAGCATGATCGAGCCTCTTTCCTTCCTCTCCCTGACCCCCACATTGGATGAACTCCTCCGTGCATCATTAAATCCCCTCCCGGTCGCAAAACCACGCCTTGTCACGGACGTTCGATCCCCTCACGAAATCCTGCGTTTGATCAGAGATGTTGGAGTCGATGTATCCGATGCGGGATGGGCTGTAAAAGCAGCTGATATCGGAGTGGCTCTCGATTTTATTTTTCCAGTGCCCAGCAGTCATGACAGTGGTCCAGACCATCGCAAACGCGACATTGGTCACAACCTGTACGATGCGAAGTACGCTTACGACTTCGTCAGGTTGTCAGACGCCTTCCTCGCTGGCTGCGATAGAACATCTTCGTCTCAAACTCCCGTTTGCCCCTGCGCTGCATGCTCTCCAGTTGCCCTCACGTCTCCTATCTACCATAGCAAAGTTGACGTTCAGTCGCATCAAGCGCGTTTAGACGACGGCATGAGCCGGGAACGATTTTCACCTCCTTTCACACGAGCCTACCTGCACCACCTCTTACACACCCACGAGATGTCTGCACACACACTCCTTGTCGCACATAATGTCGCCGTCCTTGATGCCCTGCTTACTGGAGTGCGAACGATTCTTTCGGGTCATGCTGATCAACATGAAGTAGCAACCATTTTTGCCCGAGAGGTCACAAGGTTTGAAGAGGTTTACGATGGGGATATGTCAGTGTTCCATACTGCTCGGGAAAACTGGAAGGACGTGAAGCACGCACGGGGTAAAGGAAGATTGGCGCGGGAGGCACAGAAAGAAAAGAAAGTTTGATCGGTACATTCTAATGAGGTACAGTAATTGTACAGTAAGTTTCATAACGTCGGTTACATACATTCCCGTTACCATAATGCATACATGTTCCTACTTGGTATTGTCAGAGATAGCAGATGGCCGTTCCTAGGATGACATAATCAACAGACATGTTCAACCTTGTCGTTCATCTGCACTGATTGACATCCTGCATGAGCACAAAAGGGTACTTCGCGTTTCCTCCTCCGATATCAGGCACGTCAAGACCATACCCCGCATTCATACCTCAGTCCCCCAATACCAAAGAAGCATTCGTTGACAAAAGCACACCTGGGAAAGGGGACGAGACGCGTAGCGAGAAACCGCCGCACGATGAAGAGCGTATCAATCGACTTCACAAGGAGCAGGAGCTCATAGAGATGAGCGAAATAGAGTGGGTTCGAGGCGGCGGAGTTCTGCGCGACGCACAAGGGCGCCGCGATAAAGCCCGCACAGAACGTATTCGCGCGGAGCTCAAGCTGCAAGAAGAAGAAAAGACAAAAATAGGCAGATGGAGGGATTACGATGAGCGGTGGAAAGCGCTGGCCGCGTCGGATGAAGCTCTCTCATTCGCAGATATCCCGTGGCCGCTTCGGACAGCGCCTTCTTCCAGAGATACCGATGCTTTCACGTTACCTGCGATTTCGGAGTTCCTGTTCGAGTCTCTTTCTGTTCGGAGTAATGCTGTTACGAAGAAGAGTAGGATCCGCGGCTCCATATTGCGGTGGCATCCTGATAAGAGCTCGTTGGTCGTTGGCAGGGTTGTGGCTGAGGACGTGGATGCTGTTCGAGAAGGCATTCATGCGGTGTTTCACTGCCTCAAGCGTCTACAGGATGACGAAAGAGACAATAATAATAGCGTGTAACAAATTCATCCCCTACTGGAACGAAATCGAGGCTCATCGTAGCACACGTACTTGCATCTGGTCTTCCAGTAAGTAGTCATATCATCGGTGGTAGGAGTCCAAGTCGACAATGTCATTTCATTTCCATTCACAATGAGCTGGCTGTTGCATACTGCTAAATTCCTTGTGTCGCCTCGGACTAACTACTTATCGGACTACATCCATATTCAAGAGCAATCGGATTGACTCGGAGCAAGTACAGCACGGGCCCAGGGTAGGGTAGGCTTACTAGTACCCTCCGATTACTTCCTCTGCTCAAGCTACTGCAATATACATACTAGTGGTACAATCGCACGGCTCAGCGGACGGTGTACCATACAGAAATATAACAATAACATGCACTATCGCAACATAGCGGATCTATACTACTACTAGTACGAGTACTTGTGGCAACGTTCCAAAGCGCATCACTGTCCTAATCTGGACTGAGGTGGAGCAGTGGACGAACATCAAGTGACCCCTCGATCGATCACGCTGGTGGTTTCATTGCAATGCATTATTTTAGTTATCAAAAGACGATGGAATCGACCAAGATATACATTCAAAAGGCAATATAGCATCTTACTACTCATTCGTTAATCGTCGTACAGCAGTGATATGTAATATATCATTGCTATATAACGATTAACGAATGATACAGTATGTACCAAGTGCCACGGTTATAATAAAACCAGATGCAGTGTCCCACGTCATGAGTATTTCATCCAAGAGTAACACTACAATGGCTTTCTGCAGCCTCTCGTGCCGCTTACGTCCAATCCTTCTCGCGCACACCGACCTCAACTCTCAAAACAGTCTTGTCGAGGTTGATAATAGTCATTTCATGAGGTTGACGGATGCGTGATTCCCAGCTCTCTGGGATCCGCTCATGAAGAAGAAAGCTGTGTAGGTCGTCTACACGACCTCCAAAGATTGTGATTAGGGTCGAGGCACTGACAGAACGCTCAGAAGGATGCTTGGAATGAATGACGCAATAACATACTTTGTGCTACCAAAGATCTTGTGGAAGAAGCTGAGCGAGAACTCCTTGTTTACTGCACGCGCCACTGCACGACGCTTGCCGAGAATCCTAAAGCAATCTTTAGTGGTGATGATATCATTGCCGTCCCTGTCCTTGCCGGTCGCTGCCGCGAGTAACTCCTCAATGAAGGGTACGTGTGTTATCGATTGGTCTGGTTGAAAAGCAGTGTCGAGGCCTGAAGACAAATTATTTAACATAAGAACAAGCGGAGAAAATTACTCACGTAAAAGAGAGGCGTCATGTTCAATACCATTGTGCAGGTCGATTTCTTCTAGATCAAAGGTATCCTCGCTGAAGTTTCTGTTAAGCATGCGAGCGAGAAAGTGCAGCACGAAAAAAGAGAAGGTAGGACTGAAGTTGTAGGTTGCCTGGACATGGTTGTTGAGCTCGACAAACGAGACCCTACGGCCACTGCGCGAGATGATGCCTAGGTTTTAGATACCGTCATACCAATGAGATTCATCACCCAGAATTATAGAATAACTCACCATGGTTGGCCATCGCATTGAATGCGGGGCAGAGCAGCGGGAGTCGGTTAACTGGGGAGGTATGAATTCTGGCCAGTGCCGTCCATAGCCTGGGTGGCCCTCAGGGGTGACATCGCCTATGAGGTACTTCCTCCTCACGAGGTTGGAGACCGTGAGGAGCACATCCCAAGCCATGATCCCAACATCGAAGAAACAATGGGACAAGTCAGAGAAGAAGCCCATATTATTTCCGTGTGAATAGGTATGTTTAAAGGTGTAGTTGGAGACGGGAGCTTGTGCTAAGCTTGAGTAAATATATGAGATACAAGCAATGTTTGGTGTCATTGTGTTGACAGTCACAAGGCTTCGAGTTTGTTTTGATCAGAAGGCTCTGTATCACCGCATCCATTATATTTCGAGTAGCTGCAGGCCCAGGAGTCGCATTAATGTTCTCCAAGAGGAAATATCTTGAAGGAACTTGAATTCAAGCTGAAGGGAAAGAGTGGTTTCTTCTATATCCGCTAGTAGGCTATGTAGGCCACCTACCAATAGGCACCATCAAGTTTCTGCCACGATGCATCATGATCCAAAGTCCAGGATTCGCAATTGTTCCGGCCATTGGCCAAGAGAAAACAGGAAATCACATACGAAGAGAATGGTTCGATCGTGCTTGAGAAACTTAAATGCTTCATTTCCTGGACTCGGAAGACGGAGGCATCTGCATAACTCTAGGGCTCGCCAGTTGTCGACAGGATCGTGACTGCCAAGAATAAGGATACTAGTCAGTAATAAATTAACATGTGGGTAGCATAATTCAAGCCGAAAGGAATAATACCATTCGCATAACGAATGCTAAACGCCTTGGTACCGTTCGAACGCAACGCGAAGCTTGAACCGTACGCGTGAAGGCCCACCATGGTGCAGACACACATAGCTATACACAGTGTAGCGCAATGTACCATACAGAGATATGATGTGGGCACTGTAAGAACACGGTGGAAACGCAAGTTGTGTCGATGAGTGACAAGTTGAAAAGTTGATGGCAAGTCGATCGGAAGTCGACGGCTTCCTTCCGGAACGCTTGAATTTGGAATGACGTATTGAATATTGAACAACTAAGGCCCAGGATTCAAATGGTTATACAGACTCCTCAGGAAGCTACTGCTCGGGATAAAACGTTGAGGGATTACTAGGACAAGATGATGGCGGCAAAACAAAATACGTGAGGCACAGCAGAGTTTTGGCATGCATTTCGAACAGAGTAATCTTGAGCTTGGACACTCCAGGTTCACTAGAAGAAGATGCTGTTCATACATATACATAGGGAAACAAACATTAAAAGCACATGAAGCCAAGTCTGCAATTGTACAGGGAATAGCAATTTCTCGCATCATTCAAAGCTTGCCATAAAACATGGTCTCCTCAGGCCTCATGGTCCTCCATATCATCCCACTCATCATAATCTTCCCCATCGTCAGCTGAAAAATCCTCGTTGTAATCATTGTCACTGTCTTCTTATATCTCCTCGATCCTGTTATGCGCATACCCTGCTACTCACAATCAACTCAAAGACATGCATAACATAGAAACGCACTCACCGTCTGACAGCGCAATGCAAAAAGTTAGACGTGGATATTCACCAGGAAAGATAGCATGGCATACCTGGACGTGACTTGGTTGGGCCATCACGGAAAACCTAATTCTGGTGGCATCAACGTCAAAAAAGAACAAACATTTCAATACATGACATCACACACCCCATGAGAATAGGACATTACTGAAGCACCACCAGCATTGAAATCACAAGCTGCCACATTGACAAGGCAGGACTTCGTCGAAGAATCAGCGTCAGGTAAGCAACCCAAAGGACAAGAACACGGACGTCCTGAGAGTGGGACACGGCCGGAGCACCATCAGCATCGGATAAGCAGGTCAAAAGACGAGAACACGCACTCGCTGCAAGGGGCACGCGGCCAGAGCACCATCAGCGTGGAGTAGGCAACATAAAGGACGAGAACACGCACTTCCTGAGAGCGGGATGCGGCCAGAGCACCATCAGCGTCGAGTAAGCAACGTAAAAGAGGAGAGCACGGACCAACTGAGAGCGGGACACGGCCAGAGTACCATCAGCGTCAAGTAAGCAGGTCAAAGGACGAGAATACACACCATCTGAGAGCGGGACACGGCCAGAGCACCATCAGCGACGGGCAGGCACGTCAAAAGACGAGAACACGCACTTGCTGAGAGCGGGACGTGGCCAGAGCACCATCAGCATCGGGTAAGCAGGTCAAAATACGAGAACACGGACTCGCTGCGAACAGGACACGGCCAGAGCACCATCAGCGTCGGGTAAGCAGGTCAAAAGACGAGAACACGCACCAACTGAGGGCGGGACACGGTCAGAGCACCATCAGCGTCAAGCAAGCAATGTAAAAGACGAGGACACAGACTTGCTGAGAGTAGGACCGGCCAGAGCACCATCAGCGTCGGGTGAGCAGGTCAAAAGATGAGAACACGCACTTCCTGAGAGCGGGACGCGGCCAGAGCACCATCGGTGTCAAATAAGCAAAATAAAAGACGAGAACACGCACATACTGAGAGCGGCACGAGGCCAGAGCACCATCAGCGTCGTGTAAGCAGGTCAGAAGATGACAACACGCACCGCCTGAGAGCAGGACGCAAATAGAGTACCATCAGCGTGGAGTAAGCAGGTGAAAAGATGAGAACACGCACCAACTGAGAGCGGGACACGGCCAGAGCATTATCAGCGTCGGGTAAGTAGGCCAACAGATGAAAACACGCACTTGCTGCGAGCGGGACGCGGCCAGAGCACCATCAGCGTCGGGTAAGCAGGTCAAAAGACGAGAACACGCACCAACTGAGAGCGGGATGCGGCCAGAGCGCCATCAGCTTCAAGTAAGCAGGCTAAAAGAAAAAAAAAGTACCACCTGAGAGCGGGACGCAGTCAGAGCACCATCAATGTCGGGTGAGCAGGTCAAAAGACAAGGACACGCACTTGCTGTGAGCAGGACACGGCCAGAGCACCATCAGCGTCGACTAAGCAACGTAAAAGACGAGAACACGCACTTGCTGAGAGCGGGATGCAGCCAGAGGACTATCAGCGTCGAGTAAGCAACGTAAAAGACGAGAACACGCACTCGCTGCGAGTGGGACGCGGCCAGAGCACCATCAGCGTCGAGTAAGCCACGCAAAAGACGAGATCACGCACAGTCTGAGAGCAGGACGCGGCCAGAGCACCATCAGCATCGAATAAGCAGGTGAAAAGACGAGATCACACACTTGCTGAAAGCGGGACGCGGCCAGAGCACCATCAGTGTCGCATAAGGAACGTAAAAGACAAGAACACGCACCGCCTGAGAGCGGGACACAGCCAGAGCACCATCAGCGTCCAGTAAGCAGGTCAAAAGACGAGAACACGCACTCGCTGTGAGTGGGAGGCGGCCAGAGCACCATCAGCGTTGGGTAAACAGGCCAAAAGATGAGAACACGCACGCCCTGAGAGCAGGACACGGCCAGAACACCATCAGCATTGAGTAAGCAGGTCAAGAGATGAGAACACGCACGCCCTGAGAGCGGGACGCGGCCAGAGCACCATCAGCGTTGGGTTAGCAGGACAAAAGACAAGAATACGCACCAACTGAGAGCGGGACACAGTCAGAGCACCATCAGCGTTGCATAAGCAACGTAAAAGACGAGAACACACACCAACTGAGAGTGGGACACGAACAAAGCACCATCAGCGTCGACTAAGTAACGTAAAAGACAAGAACACGCACCGCCTGAGAGCGGGACGTGGCCAGAGCACCATCAGCGTCGAGTAAGCAGGTCAAAAGACGAGCACACGCACTTTCTGAGAGCGGGACGTGGCCGGAGCACCATCAGCGTCGAGTTAGCAGGTCAAAAGACGAGAACACACACCAACTGAGAGCGGGACGCGGCCAGAGCACCATCAGTGTCGCGTAAGCAACGTAAAAGACAAGAACACGCACTTGCTGAGAGCGGGACGCGGCCAGAGCACCATCAGCCTTGTGTAAGCAACGTAAAAGACGAGAATACGCACCAACTGAGAGTGGGACGCGGCCAGAGCATCATCAGCGTCGGGTAAACGACGTAAAAGACGAGAATACGCACAAACTGAGAGCGGGACGCGGCCAGGGCACCATCAGCGTCGAATAAGCAGGTCAAGAGACGAGAACACGCACGCCCTGAGAGCAGGACGTGGCCAGAGCACCATCAGCGTTGAGTTAGCAGATCAAAAGACGAGAACACGCACTTGCTGATAGCGGGACACGGCCAGAGCACCATCAGCGTTGCGTAAGCAACGTAGAAGACGAGAACACGCACTCGCTGCAAGGGGCACGCGGCCAGAGCACCATCAGCGTGGAGTAGGCAACATAAAGGACGAGAACACGCACTTCCTGAGAGCGGGACGCGGCCAGAGCACCATCAGCGTCGCGTAATCAACGTAAAAGACGAGAATACGCACCAACTGAGAGCGGGACGCGGCCAGAGCACCATCAGGGTCGGGTAAGCAGGCCAAAAGACGAGAACACGCACTTCCTGAGAGCGGGACGCAGCCAGAGCACCATCAGCGTCGCGTAAGCAACGTAAAAGACAAGAACACGCACCGCCTGAGAGCGGGACGTGGCCAGAGCACCATCAGCGTCGAGTAAGCAGGTCAAAAGACGAGCACACGCACTTTCTGAGAGCGGGACGTGGCCAGAGCACCATCAGCGTCGAGTAAGCAGGTGAAAAGACGAGAACGCGCACTTGCTGAGAGCGGGACGCAGCCAGAGTCCCATCAGCGTCGAGTAAGCAGGTCAAAATACGAGAACACGCACTCGCTGCGAGCAGGACGCAGCCAGAGCACCATCAACGTCGGGTGAGCAGGTCAAAGACGAGAACACGCACTTGCTGTAAGCAGGACGCGGCCAGAGCACCATTAGCGTCAGGTTAACAGGTCAAAAGACGAGAACACGCACTAACTGTGGGCGGGACGCGGCCGGAGAACCATCAGCGTCGAGTTAGCAGGTCAAAAGACGAGACCACGCACTTGCTGAGAGCGGGACGCAGCCAGAGCACCATCAGCGTCGCGTAAGCAACGTAAAAGACAAGAACACGCACCGCCTGAGAGCAGGACGCAAATAGAGTACCATCAGCGTGGAGTAAGCAGGTGAAAAGATGAGAACACGCACCAACTGAGAGCGGGACACGGCCAGAGCATTATCAGCGTCGGGTAAGCAGGCAAAAAGATGAGAACACGCACCGTCTGAGAGCGGGACGCGGCCAGAGTACCATCAGCGTCGAGTAAGCAGGTCAAAAGACGAGACCACGCACTTTCTGAGAGCGGGACGCAGCCAGAGCACCATCAGCGTTGCGTAAGCAACGTAAAAGACGAGAACACGCACCGCCTGAGAGCGGGACGCAGCCAGAGCACCATCAGCGTCGGGTAAGCAGGTCAAAAGACGAGACCACACACCTCCTGAGAGCAGGACGTAACCAGAGCACCATCAGCGTCGACTAAGCAACGTAAAAGACGAGACCACGCACTTTCTGAGAGCGGGACGCGGCCAGAGCACCATCAGCGTCGAGTTAGCCGGTCAAAAGACGAGAACACGCACCAACTGAGAGCGGGACACGGCCAGAGCACCATCAGCATACAGGTTAGGGTTAGGGTTGTTGCGCTTTCAGTTCAAGACCGTCAGCGAAGTCTCATGATAACATACCGTTTGCTGGACATGAAAGTTGCGAATAAGGTGCATCTCTGCTTCAGTTCCGGGGATGTAGCCAATGCAGGATTGTGTTTTCTGCTTTGAACTGTTTCCGCGGGAGATCTGAAATCGTCGTTTGCATACTCGGCTTTCGGTTGTTAGGTGCTGTCAGCCCAAGAAAAAAACAAATATACTCACCAATTGATCGAGCAACCAGCATGAGGTCGAAGTGAAGGCTCCGCGCCAACGCGATTGACAGCGCCGCAAAAATGACATTGGTATTCAACTTCAGGCCGCGTCTCTTGTTCAAGGATGACCCTCATGACGATCGTCATGCCTGCTTCGATTCTTGGCCATTCATGGCTTGTAAGTTGGATTACTTGCTTGTCGTTGTCAATGCAAAAATCGTATTGTCCTTGCTCCATATACCGTCTCTGAATTTGAGCTTGGTTCGAGTTGTGTTTGAATAGAAGCTGCAGCTGCTCATTGAATCGCTGAAGAGAATTGGACGAGTAAGCTCCCTCAAGATGAATCTCATAGCGAGGCTTACCTCAAACGAGTCGCAGACGTCCATCGGTATTGTATGTGAGCGGTCTGTTGCGTCTACAAGTGTGACAAAGCCAAGTGTGACAATCGGCCCCACAGAGGATTGCCCAGTGAAGACCATGCTCCCAATTCCCATCAAGATTTCGTGTTGCTTCTCCAGAGTTTTCCGCACTTCGTTGATGTCGTGTTGATTTTGCATTTGAGATGACCACTAGTAATAAAGTGGAATGGTGAGTGCATGTAGACAGTCTTGAGAGGGTAGAACACAACCGAATAATCCGCCAGATAATCCTCTATTTCGCTGGAGCATCCAACGATGTCCTGTGTGACAGATGTGTATACAAGACCACGGTTGCACAACTGTGTTACTTTGGCATGTATGTCTAGCAGCATCCTGAATGCGACTCGATGTCAGTAAAGTCAAGAACATGCCAAGAAAGCATATACTTCATTATCGCATCTCTCCGGTCTTGTTCAAAGGGATCCTGGGTGGACGGGGCGTTGTACAGATATAAGCTTAGTCGACGAAGTCGTGTTCTGAGGCGATCTAGGTCCGCCTGATTCTGAGTACGTCTCTGTGATAGTCTTTAAATCAAGAAACATCCTGGTAATAAAATAACCTCTCACATCTACAATTTGAAGGATTGACAATAATCCACTGATAGCGGCTTGCATCGCAGGACCGGCAACTGGAATTGCACCTGCAACGGCCTGGACGACAGGCAAAAATGTCTGAGCCATGTCGGAAGCTGTGCGGGCAAAGGAATTGCCATGGGTGGCTATGGCGGAGGAAATATCGATGGAGAATTCGAGGCTTGGATTCACCGCCAGAGAACCAGGGTGCACTAGTAGTGATGAGTTCGAATGGAGAGTGGATGAAGAAACGGGAAACTCGCTTGGAATATCTGCAGAGATGGAGTCATGGTCTTCGTGGTGGGTTGTCGAGCTGCACTGTGTGCGTCTGTTGGGGCGCTTCGACCGAATTGCGAATACTTTGCTGGGATCGAGATCCTTGAAAAAAGCTTTGATCGAAGCCTTGGCTGACGGAGAGGGCATTTTGTCGGGTGGGTTAGATGATAGCTGGTAAGAGGTCCAGGGAATATAAGACGGAGGGGCCCAGCGAGGGAGTACTTAAGAGCTGTGTAGAACACAGTCCAATCGTGCATGTACAAACCTCGTGTATGCTGTATACTTACGTACATGGAGTTCTGGAACTTGAACTTGTTGCGAGCACGCGTGGATCAGACCCTTCAAATGATGCAGATGCTCCAGAGGTCCAGTACTAGTGGCAGTGAACATGAGGCCTAGGGTAAATTCGTCACGGCTCCACTTGGTTGCCGGTCCGACGAGAATGAATCGAGTGCTTCCTTTTTGCCTCGTTCTCCTCTATTGTCTCCGTTGTTATATGCCCAAGCTTCTGGTTCTTAAATGAAGCTGCGCCTCGCCCCTACCTGTGTCACTCATGATTTCAGATTGAGTTTGCAGACGACAGTACTAGTCGGAAGTCTGTTGTGTCATCACATCTGTCCTGGGCACTTATAAAGCTCTTTGGTCTCTCGCGAGCGTTTGTTCTTTTTCTCAAAACAGTAACTTGATTCTCGTTGTTCCCTGGGCCCTGGGGTCAAACAAACACTAATCATCCCCTCCGCCTGTCCTAAGATGAATACAACTTATCAGCGCTTCAGATGGGACACAAATATATGTATGAAGTGAGCTGCTGCGGAATTTTTACTAGAGCCGTCTTTTTCGCTCGATAATCTCCCGTTTGTATCGTTCATCCTGTGTTCGACCATCCTTCTGGCTAGACAAAGTTGAGACAAAGTAGTTGCAACATGTTATTTTGTCTAGACCTATTCGTGTTCTCTAAATCTAACTGAAACGCTGAATCAATATGAATGAAACTTCCAATTTGATCCGGCTCGACACCACAGATATTATGTACCACTGCCGATTGATGCATGTACGTGTTCGTTCCTGCACAACATGATTGTACTCGTACCGAACGCCACAGACAAGGTGTGTAAACATCTGCATGAGTGAAGGAAGACCGGGGTGGTATAATTGAGACGTTAATCACAGGCAAGCAAGCGGTTGCAAACATGCCTCGTGCAGAAGTTCAGAACGTTAGCAGAAAATCTGATCACCGAACTCAAAGTGCCAAGTTTTACCAACACCACGAAGATCCCCAATGGATCACTCGGTCGGCGTTGACGCGAGTATTGAAAAATACAAGACACAGTGCGAGGACCTCCCATGCAGTGCTGAGTGTCCAAATTTCGGTCACAATCTGTGTCGCTGGTAAACCGATAGGTGCCGAAGAAGACAAGCACCTCCCTGACGAGCCCAATCATTCACCCATAATCCTTACCACTTGAAATGTCACCACTTGCCCTCGTCGCTCTGTAGCAATTCAGTTGGTTCGACGGGAATGACAGGCATCGGTGCAGATTATTCACCACATCTGTCATCGTGACTCCCCGAAGACTCGCTTCACGCAACCAGCCAGAAGCAACGAGAACACAGTATGTGTGGAAACATACATGACATGATGTTGCTGTTCATGAGAGATGGTTTCTTAGCTGAGTGAGAACTCGGAATCCATACAAACACATAGGAAGACTCTAATGCGTCGAAGCTCGATACAGCTTTTAACACAAATAAGAACTTACTTAGGATTGGAGGCGATGGTGGTGTGAGAGATTCACATGATAATAGTCACGAGATGGTCGGTCATTGCGCCGGGTGAGCTGCACCCGCCGATGAGGTCCTTGATTGGGTATCTGTTGAGTATTCACCTGTTATACCTGCCTTGCGAGCCATGTTCAGAATTTGCAATTGTTCGGCTCAAGCTCAACAGCTTGTTCAACCGCGAAGATCGAACATGAAGAGAAGCGTTTTGTCTTTGAGGAATTTGCCTGAAAGCTGGAGGCACCTGCATCAAATTCAAGGGGCCAGCTGCGGAGCTCGTCAGTCGTTGACAGGTTCGTGACTGAGGATGTGTTCGAGTCTTCAAGCTATTCATGCAATCTCAAGCGTCTGCACAATCTCTCGAACACGAGGAACGTGCGTCTTTACTAGTATCAGATCAGACGCAACGCAACGGGTGATCTCTGTTGTCAATCGTGAGTGAAACGACTAGGAACATTAAAGTGAGAGCAGATAAGGTCAGTAACGTCAGACGAGTTTCCAACGTCACGTTCAAGCACGTAGCTTCGGGACACATTTTCAGACAGAAACCTTATGACGTTCTGCGGCCTCCCGTGCAGCCTCTGCCCAATCCTGCTCGCACACGCCAAGCTCAATTCCTAGTATAGTCTTGTTTAATTGCATCAGAGTTATTCCATAATGTTGGCGGATGTGCGATTCCCAGCCCCCTGGGAGTCGTTCTTCATGGAGGAAGCTATGGAGCTCGTCCACACGGCCTCCAAAGACGGTGACTAGGGTCGCGGCACTAACGGAACGTTCAAAAGTGTGCTTCAAAATGAATGATGTAGTAACGTACTTCGTGCTTCCAAAGATCTTATGGAAAAAGCTGAGAGAGAACTCCTTGTTTACTGCGCGTGCGACTGCACGTCGCTTGCCGAGTATCCTGGAGAGATCTTTGGTAGTGATGACAGCGTTATCTTCTTTGTCCCTGCCGGTAGCCGCCGCAAGTAACTCTTCAATGAAAGGTACATGCTTCGTTGATTGCGCCTGTTCGAGAGCAGAATCGAGGCCTAAAGACGAATTATTCAGACATACACAAACAAGGATATCAAATCACTCACGCAAGAGGGATCCGTCGTGTTCAATACCATTATGTAGGTCAAGTTCTTCCAGATCAAACAAGTCCTTGTTGTAGTTTTTCTTGAGCATACGAGCGGCAAAGCGCGGCACAAATGAGCAGAAGGTAGGACTGAAGTTGTATGTTGTCCGGATATGATCGCCAACCTCGACAAACGAGATGTTGCGGCCGCTGCGTGGGATGATACCTGGGTTTTAATATCGTCAACACTAATACTACCACCTAGGCTTAAGCACAGAGACTGGCAGGACCACTCACCATGGTTGGCCATCGCATTGAGCGCAGGGCAAGAGCAGCGGGAGTCGGTCTCCTTGGGAGGGCTATACTCGGGCCAGTGCTTTCCATAGCCTGGGTGGCCCTGGGGGGTGACATGCCCGATGCGATGCTTCCTCCTCACGAGATTGGAGAGCGTAAGGAGGATATCCCAAGATAAGATCCCGAAATCGAGGAAAAGACGGGACACGATGGAGAAGGGGCCCATTATAGCTATGTCGAAGGTGTTAAGTCGGGGACAGGAAGAGAGATGAATAGGTACGGTTCAAAGGAGCTTAAGTGTACAAGGGATCCGAATAACGTCAGGAGTAGTGTCATAGGACTGACGGAAAAGATTATGTATCTCGGTGCTAAACGTTTGGCCTGTGGAATCCCATGTCCCCCAAGTATAGACCGAGGCTCGTGTAGGAGGGCCCAACATTAGTGGCGGACAAAAGGAGAGATCAATAGCTTTTTAGTTATCGTATGGTTAAGCCAGACCATAGAGGAACTCGGAGGAATTGAAAGAAAGAGTCGTCTGACAGACATCGCTTTCAAGTCCGAATGTGGCCTAGGCTTCATCGAGCTTCTCCGATCTAGGAATGAATGGTCCAACGTTCAGATCTGAGAGTTCGTGGCGGTTCCGAAGAAGATTGTAATTGTAATTTTGGGCATTTGATAGCTTGAATATTGACGCAGCCCTGCGACTCGGAGCGCCTGTTTGTCCAATCCCGAAAACCACATACAAAAACCACATGGGAGGATCAAAGGGGTCCCCAGCAGTGTTTCGTATTTGCGGTGTTTTAGGAACCTGGAAACACCTGAGTTCGAATGACAGTGAAAAGTCTCCTCACCAAGCCAAGTAGCAAGAAGTGTCTGGTACCGATACCGCTGGACAATAGCCATACCGTCATGGTAAGTCCTTTTTTGTCGAAATCAAATTTAAGTTGACGCTGAGCGTCTCCAGTCTGTCCGGACTCGACGAGTAACCGATACGTTTTTTTTGTGAAATGATGTTATCAACCTATAGCGATCGCACAGGTCAATTCTAGAAGGATACGTTCGGGATACTTCACCAGTAGAATTCCGAGATGTGAAGTCGTTCGAAGGAATCAAAAATTTGAAATCGAATGCGAATCACGTGATCTCGGTGCTTAATCTGGACGTTCTCTTTGGTTCCTTCAGCTTTGATAGCGAACATGACAGCAGCAGCAAGATGCACGCCAGGGCTTGCTTCCACCTCATACAAGCTCCCTTTCATGACTTCAGCAATGAGATATAAAGGACACCGTAATGCCCGCTGCTTCTCATCCACGTGTCGACGAGCAGCCCACTTGCGCGATCATTATGCAACCCTTGGAGTCCCAATCACCGCGACGAAGGCTCAAATAAAGGCATGGGTCATTCTCTTGAATTCTTATATGTCCCTCACAAACTCATGATAGACACATTTCTACCAAGTGAGTCGTCCTTATTGGTAGCAAGGATGTCTGCTGATGAAGATCGCCAACTCTTAGCTCAGCAAGAAATATCATCCTGACGTCAGTCAGGACAGTACGGCACGGGGAAAATTTCACGCAGTGAGTGAAGCTTATGCAGTGCTTGGGGATGATCGGAAGCGGTACGTCTCAAAGCGTTCGCCTGATGTACTGACCTGATAACTTGATGGCAGGCGAGAGTACGATCGTAGTATCCGCCACGCATCACCGTCACAACCATCCTCTCACCACCCGCAAGCTACTACAGCACGTCCCTCCAATAGATCAGGGTCACGCAGTGCATGGCAAAATAATGCACGTCAGCATCAGCACCGTGACCCCAAATTCAGCCATGCGCATGACCCAAACGCAGCTTATGACCACCCATGGGAGCATGCTCGAGCAGGCAAATACACCTACTATCAACCTCCCCCCGGTGCCCATTCGCGCACGTCCTATACGTGGTCGCACACAAATCCATTTTCCAGCCCACACGTCCAACGAGCAACGGGTCGTATGTCTGCATATCCTTCACCAGGAACGGGCCCGTCTGATGGTAACAATGAAAATATGACTAAAGAAGAACCACGCCTAAAAAGAACGCAAACGGACGAGGACATAGTTGCAGCGGAGAGTGTTGTAGGGCGTGTGTTTGCGGTGTCTGGACTTTTAACTTTCATGTTAGTGATAGCCCAGTTCGCGGGTGCGCCGTGGGGCAGTGCGCATGCATGAATCAATCAATTTTGCGATCAGTTTGTCGAAACGCATAGAAACTTAGTTGGAAGCCTAATACTACAACGGTACTTTCCTGATACATACATTGACTGTCCGTCTACACCTCCCGCAGGTATCTACCATCCATCAGCGCTCAGCAATGGCACAGGCATCTATAGCAGATTGTGACGTAGGGTCTTCTATACATCCCTGTGATGCACTACTGTCACTCTCGTTGTTCTCTTGCAGTGTTTGCGCCCTGGTATACCCAATTCTTGACCCGATCCACATATATTACTGCGAATGCCGCAGAGACTGCCACAATGATTACTTTCAGTTGGAATTCGCTTAACCGAACTTCACTGTCAGTCTCATTTTCTTCCGGTCCGTCATGAGAAGGCATGGCTTTCTGAGGAGAGGACGAAGCCGCCTGAGCTTGCAACTTCGCCTTCTCCCTTTCCTTCAACTCCCTATCTCGCGTGAGCTTGTTCATCGCCGACCAGTATCCAGCAGGCGGACGATAAATCATCGATGAGCCTGACTTGACTGGGTCCCAGAAAGTGGGATCAACCGGCCGGGGTTCAGACGAGGCAAGTTCTCCCGCCCGTTGATGTCGCAGTCCCGTTATAAGAGCAGAATGCAGCTGCTCATGTTGATCGTATTTCCGTCTACGATGATGTTCAGAACCAGTATACTATAGTTGGCCGAGTGAAAAATAAACAAGCGCACCGAGCCTTTTTCTTTCCAAGCACAGCGTAAGCCTCAGTAACCTTTCTAAAAATTTCGGGGGAAGTTGGATCTTGAGAGACGTCAGGATGATGTTGCCTGCTCAGCTACACGCGCGTCACCTCAACGATACGCATCGACTATGACCAAACCACACCTCGTAGTACCTTTTCTATGGTGCCGTATCAGCCACTAGAATGAACCTCGAACTAAGATTGAAGACTGACTTTGATTTGGTCCTGCGAAGCATCTCTCCATAACCCAAGTGCGGTATAGTGGACCCAACGATTCGTTTTGCCCTTTGAACTTTGAGTGGGCTGAGGTGGTACGGGGTCTCTATGCGAATGTATCCACGATGAAAAACCGAGTGCGAGACTGTGAATCCATGACGGTTTGCCATCATCGTGTTTTGGACTTTCGGTGGCATAGTAGTGTTTGCGATGCGGTAGTACGATGTTCTTGTGCCGTGAGGACCATGGGGAGAAATTGAGGAATGGAAGAGAGGATGGAGACCCTCTGGATCTCATCGATTGATGGCTGCGGCAGTTGAACCTGTTGACGTTCAAATTGGTCGTTGGTCATTGGATTATTACTATTTGTCTTCGACACAAGAATATCTTCATTCTACTACTGCATAGGACATGTGTCAGTAGTTCTTATACATGGGATCTATAGATATTATTCATTCTAGGTGATACGCCGGTGCGTGCTATGTACAAGGTACATGGCGGCGGCGGGCCAGGCCTTCAATAAACGAGCTGAAGGCTTTACATAAGCTGAATTTCAGCCTAATTTGATTCCTGTCTCCGCCCGCAAATTTCGTTGAAGCCACTCTTGAGTTTGAGCATCTGTTGTCCCGGGTCTTCTGGTTTGCACGTCTCAACGTCCCACAACCTCACCATTACTGTCACATCGGAATCTAGTCCTTACTCATAGGACAGCCGCAGGACTACGTGTGCTGACACTCTTGGAGATTTGTAGGAGATCCTTGCCAGGATCCTCTAGTCAACGAATGCCGCCTGGTAGATCGGCCCGAAGTATTACTCATGAAAGCCACCGACTTCAACGGGAATTCACGCAGATACACTCCAATCACCGATGAGTGGCAGAGACCCTAAACTGAGATTGATATTGTAGATGATTGGTTTCGAGGAAGTTGGGAGTCTGGTGTTTCGATCGTCTGCTAGGGTCCTCATTCCATGCCTTATCTTCATGGTCGATACACGCGTTAGCCGTGATAATCTTTGTCTTCTGTAATTTGCACACGTCGGGCATGTCACATGCATGACCTTCCATATTCAGAGGTCACCTCGATCCTGCCGATTGAATTCAGTCGAGCAGAGAAGTGTGCGATCGATGGTACGTCCTCTTGACATCTTGCCGTTTATAATTATCTCAAACTTTTTTTGAATAGTGATCCGTGCGTCTTCTTTCGGGAAAGCTCTCGCAGACTACTCGATCTCTGCATGTTTCCCGTTCGTCAGCGCGCACGTTTGAGCGAGAACAGTGGGAGGCACTGGAAAAGCGTCCTGTTGCGTGGAAGGCGGGCCTAGCGAGCGTGCTGGAGGTTGTTATTAGTGCACAAAAGCGCGGCAACGGTTCGGCTGTGGGTGAAGTCGTGCAGCAGGTCACGCAGACAGGTGACAGCGTTCAGATTGACGCCACGTAGCCTACATCAGAGTTCCTCTGGTCAGCAAATCAAGGTTATGGTTGTTGACTACAATTTATGGGCAAGCCGGTGAAGCTCATTGTCGTTCATCTGAACATGACTTCGGCTTTGATGTCGAACGTTCAAAATTCTCTGCCTACTAAGACGAGAAGACACTATCAACGCCCGGGGACGTTGATTATAGCAATATTGCGCAGCCAAAATCAAGCAACTCCCGTATGTATATATCCCTGTTCCCATCAGTCATGCAATCACTTGTCACTACTGTTTATTTGAGAGTGCTGCTACGCGCTAGGCACAGCGTACAGGTCCGATATGTGTATGTACTCGCTCGAACGAATATCATATTATTCCACTCACTGATAAGACGTATATAACAGACCAATGTGCATCGAACTGCCTCAAGATTTGCACCGGACCAAGGTAAGTACTTGATCTGATGGTAACACATCCATTGACATGCGGTGTCAAGCAAGGTGCCTGCAACTACAGTATACAAAACAGACCCAAATAACAGGTCTCTTTATCACCTTCAAGCCGTATATCTCCCTCCCCTCGATTGCTCACTTTGCGCAGTGTTTCTCTGTCCAGTTCATTTGCACAGTCCAGTATCCTATATCGATCAAGGTCATGCCACACGCCGAGTCGAGCACGTCAATGAGACGGGGAGAAGCGTCATTGCACTCATCGATATATCGGACGAGCGCGAAATATTTACCACCATATGGTGCACAGCACCGCCAAGATGCACTTTGGGAAGGTGAGCAGCCACCTGGTGATACCCAACAGCTGACTCAATTAGAAGCAGGCGGGAATGAAGCGCTTCCTCCTATGTGGCAACAGTACAAGACGACCTCGGATAGTGCAACAGAATATGAAGATAACACGCTCACGATAGTCTCGTGGAACCGACCTTTACCAGGGGTGCGACTAGGTGAGGGATGAAATTGCGACAAGGAACGACGAACTCACCATCGAACATAGATGATCCTGGAGATCTCGTTGTGCCTGGATGGGAATGGCACATCTCACCATTCGGTTGGTCCTACTTCGTCGACCACAATACTCGGACCACGTCATGGAAGAAACCAAAGCCAGAACGTCCGACAGGAAGCTTGATGCCGGAATGTGTCATCGATGGTCACTCCAAATGCATATGGAGCCTTGCCTACTTGGGTACTAGTGGCAATATAATGAGCACGTCTGATGATAGTTCGATTCGTCAGTGGAAAAGAGATGGAGAACCAGTGGGAAAACCTTTGAATAGCGATGGGGGAGAAATAGGTTCGATGGTAGCATCTCCGGACGAAGCGATGGTTGTTTGTGGAAGTGTAGATGGCAGACTGCGGCTGTGGAATATAAAGGAGGGCAGCATGATCGGTGACCCATGGGAGGGGCATAAGGCTGCAGTGGTGTGCCTCGATTGGCCTCGCAATTCCCTGGAGATAGCAAGTGGATCACAAGACAGCACCATACGACGCTGGAATCCGAATACTGGTCGACAAATAGCACCGCCCATAGAAACCATCCACGGATGGGTCAGAGCCATCAAATACTCTCCACAAGGCGACAAATTCATGAGCGGTGGGAACGGCCCGATCTGCATATGGTCAAAGGACGGAAAGCTGCTTATGGAGATCAAGGGGCATAAAGGCTGGGTGTCGTCATTGTGTTGGTCCCAGGACGGCGCACATATCTTCTCTGCGTCGGGTGATACCACCATCCGAAAATGGCGGGCGATTGATGGGCAGGAACTCGTTGTTCTTCGGGGTCATACCAATTCTGTCAAATCCCTCTCCCTTAGTCCAAATGAACGCTATCTTGTTAGCGCATCATATGACTTCTCCATTCGCATATGGGATCTCAAGACCAACCAGGCAGTCGGAGATCTACTCTTGCATGATGACAGAATCTTCGCTGCTGCCATGTCCCGCGATGGAAAATATATTGCCAGTGCTGGACCAGATAAAAAAATCTATGTATGGAACCTAGAGGCGGCGCTCCAAAACGTTGTGGTGCGTATATGCGCTTTGTTGTCCAATTTCCCTTTCTAACCGTTCTGATCATTTAGGGCGCAGATGATGGGAATGCAAAGCTCAAGGCAAGTCTTCTCTGCTTCCCTTTCACACTGCATCTCACTTTTTATCAGGGACGTCCAACCCAACCAAGAGTTGTGCGCCCACCAATCGTAAGGAACCTCATTTTTTCTCGTATGTTTCGCTAGATCCTTAATGCCCATCTGCACTTCAAACAATAGGCCAATACCAAAGGCTCGGCGAAATACGTTAGTAGAATTTTTCGTTCTCCAGCTCTTGCTAATCCGACTTTTGATACAGGGCAATGATTTCTTCAGCAATGATTCAGATCGCGCAGCTCCGCCTGCAAGTTCATCTTTCCTTCATTGGCGTAGTTTAATTGGTTCCCTCCGGTTCAGTACCCAACCTACAGATGCGCCCCCACCATCACCTCGCAAGTCCCGGAATTGGAATTTCAACTTATTTTCCGTAGGAAATTCCAGTCACACCGTTGAAGTAGCTCCTGGCCGCAAAAAAGATGTTAGCGTGGCTCGCAATCATGATCCGTATTCTTTGATATCATTGACAACACAATTGTAGAGATACGCCATTGCCCCTCCCAGCAAGGCAGAAGTGGAGGCAGCTATGCAACGTGCGAACGCCAACCAAACCAACAGTTCAATGCAAACAGGTCAACCCGCAGCGGGGGCACAACCATCTCAAGCACTGGCAGGGGCACAAGGGTCTCAAGCACGACCAACAGGAACACACCAGTCAACCAGTGGGAGGGGAGAAGTTTCCTATGAAGTTACCTGCTGTGGATTTTACTTTGGTCGTCGTTCCACTTCACATCAGTCATGAAATCATCTAAAAATCATGTTACTTGAACGTTTCTCTTCCCTTTTATCTGTGCTTACGCATCAAGCATTTTAGATATAGTTCGTCCCGTTTCATGTACATGCGCAACGACATTGATATATTTCTCTCACAAGGATCACATGATTGAAGCAAGCATGAGGTTGTGCTAGTGTCTGTGTAGCTCCCGCGTAGAATATACGAAAGGCACATGAGATCGAATACGAACGGGGTCAGAGTTTGCAAAAGAATACTAATAATACCATAGTTTGCACCGGCACTATTGAATTTCACTGGTCTATTGGGATATGATGGCGAAGGGCTGCAATGTTAAGAGAAAAGGACACAGCAGAGGGTTTGGGCTTGTGCGCATGATTGGAGGCTGGCTGGGAACTAGTAGTATGTGCTAGTGGATGGGCACGGACTGACAATGTTTGGGTCCGGCATTCGAAAAGCAAATTCGAAAGCGTCAAACCTGCTGCCAGAGAGCGTGCAAAGCTCAGTGCCGAAATCCATACCTTAGATATACCTTTGTACAAGTATCTATCAGTAATTCACCCCCATCGTTAGGGAGTTCTCCGCTGTTGCTAGTCGGTTGCCATTTCGGACTCGCAATCCACCGAAGTGACTCTTAACAGATGATGTGTTTTCGCCTAGCAGTGGAAAAGTCCAACACCTATAAGCTCTGCCATCGGTTGAAATTTATGAAGTACGAAATATGCTTACTGAGATATGCAGGCGAGGACCTTGGTTGGCAACTTGAAGACGGGTATGACACCCCATCTACCGTCCGCAAACACAAATTCCTGCGCGAATTCGATACTTGGATCGAAGTCCAACCCACACCCACACCCTCTCCGGTCCATCTTCATGCACAAACCTGAGGGTTCAAGTGCTCCTTGGCAAACTCCTCGTTCATCTGCTCCTCTTCTCCAAATTTCTTGACAGGCGGGTACTGAGCGAAAAAAGTACGTTGCCTGACAAGAAATTACTGTTAGTGGCGTGCCATTCAGTCTATGGTATATTGCCCTGTTCAGCTGCTGTGGTTAGACTGGGACGAGAAACCCGAACCAACTATGACAATGCGTAGCCTGCAGCGTCCACATCCACGTCAGATCACGCCCCATCTTTTCCTTCCTCGCGCGCTGCCTTCGTTTGTTCAAATGATTTCAATCTTCCCCAACACCTACGTCGGCTGCCGTGAGCCAAGGCAATCCTAGTAATCCTGACTTCGAGAGAGTAGAGGCGGGCAAGGGCTTAGGTGGAAAAGGGGCGTCGGCATTCTCCACAACCAAGTGTTCCTTGGCGCAGCGAGCAACACAGCCCGTTCCTTTCGCGCAGCTTTGGTCGCCGTCTGAAGCCGGTGGTCAATTTTCACTTGCGAGAGCGTTCGCTTAGTACAACCTCCCTTGAACTCACTAGCTCCGGGAGCACCACTCTCTTCAGATACCTGCGTTATGAGATTGAGTACGACCTATATCAGTGTCGACTCACTGTAGAGACCGTACAGGATGCTCCGGATAGGGCGGTCGAGTAGAGGTTGACTTTTCATTCCAGGCATGATAGTTGGATGCTCTGGCGCCGACTCATCTGAGACAAGTTGGATCACTGTTTGTTTCAAGGCTAAATTGTAAATGTCCTTGGTCGACAATGGTGTTGTCGATGAAACGACTGTACTACGCACGAGCTCACGCGCTCAAGGCAAGCAATGGCGTGACCACAGTTTTTAATGAAGGAATGGTGGTCGTCATCATAATTTTGACAGATCTGCTTACTAAGACGGGAAGACTTTGTGCACAACAGAAGCACAGCCACCACGTGCACATTGGTCTTTGCACTCGGAAATGGCACCGCATCAATATTTCAATACTGAAATAAGCTTTTCAGAGAAGCTACGTCACGTCGCGCTCATATGTAGATCGAACGTGCATACCAATCACATATTCAGTCCCTCTCCCATAGCATCAGTGTCTGCAATTTGAACAGTGACTTGCACGCTCAGCACCAGTGTGCCCTTTTGATACACACACCTCTCTCCCTCCTCCTATGCTCTTCTACACGAAAACACGGGCTCGGGAAAATCGGCTTCATTTCATGGAACCCAATGGTTCGATGAGGACGTGACACTGG